TGTCTGTACTGCTGTCTGTACTGCTGCTGCTGCTGATGAGCTCCCACTCCTGGGGGCAATGTCTCCTGTACTGCTATCAATGCGTGCTGTCACTGCTGCTATGATCTGTACTGTGATCTGTGGTGATGTCTGTACTGCTGTCTGTACTGCTGCTGATGATGAGCTCCCACTCCTGGGGACAGTGTCTCCTGTACTGCTATCAATGCGTGCTGTCACTGCTGCTATGATCTGTACTGTGCTCTGTACTGTGATCTGTGGTGATGTCTGTACTGCTGTCTGTGGTGATGCCTGTACTGCTGTCTGTATTGTTGTCTGTACTGCTGTCTGTACTGCTGCCTGTACTGCTGCTGATGATGAGCTCCCACTCCTGGGGGCAATGTCTCCTGTACTGCTATCAATGCGTGCTGTCACTGCTGCTATGATCTGTACTGTGCTCTGTACTGTGATCTGTGGCGATGACTGTACTGTGATCTGTGGTGATGTCTGTACTGCTGTCTGTACTGCTGCCTGTACTGCTGCTGATGATGAGCTCCCACTCCTGGGGGCAATGTCTCCTCACAAGCTCCACCTTACGGCGGATCTGACTCGGAGTGTCCTGGTAGTGGTTATTGTCGTCCCTCGCCATCGCCTGTACACAGTACACACACACAGTACACACACAGTTACACACAGTACACAGTACACACACACACAGTACACACACACACACAGTACACACACAGTACACACACAGTTACACACAGTACACACACACAGTACACACACACACAGTACACACACAGTACACAGCTACACACAGTACACAGTACACACACACAGTACACACACACACAGTTACACAGTAACACACAGTACACACACAGTACACACACAGTACACAGTACACACACACAGTACACACACAGTTACACACAGTACACACACAGTACACACACACAGTACACACACAGTACACAGTTACACACAGTACACACACACAGTACACACACAGTACACAGTTACACACAGTACACACACACAGTACACACACAGTACACACACACACACACACAGTACACACACACACAGTACACACACAGTACACACACAGTAGACACACACAGTACACACACACAGTACACACACACAGTACACACACACAGTTACACACACAGTACACACACAGTACACACACACAGTTACACACAGTACACACACAGTACACACACACAGTTACACACAGTACACACACACAGTACACACACAGTTACACACACAGTACACACACACAGTATACACACAGTACACACAATCCACACACAGTACACACACACACAGTACACACAGTACACACACAGTACACACACAGTACACACACAGTACACACACACACAGTACACACACACACACACAGTACACACACACACACAGCAGACACACACAGTACACACACACACAGTACACACACAGTACACACACACAGTTACACACAGTTACACACACAGTTACACACACACAGTTACACACAGTTACACACACAGTACACACACAGTACACACACACAGTTACACACAGTTACACACAGTTACACACACAGTTACACACAGTACACACACACAGTTACACACACAGTACACACACAGTACACACACAGTACACACACACAGTACACACACAGTACACACACATTATACACATACAGTACACACACACAGTACACACACACAGTACACACACACACAGTACACGTACACACACACAGTTACACACACAGTACACACACAGTACACACACACAGTTACACAGTTACACACAGTACACACACAGTACACACACACAGTTACACACAGTACACACACACAGTACACACACAGTTACACACACAGTACACACACACAGTATACACACAGTACACACAATCCACACACAGTACACACACACACAGTACACACACAGTACACACACAGTACACACACAGTACACACACACACAGTACACACACACACACACAGTACACACAGTTACACACAGTACACACAGTACACACACACACACAGCAGACACACACAGCAGACACACACAGTACACACACACACAGTACACACACAGTACACACACAGTACACACACAGTACACACACAGTACACACACACAGTTACACACAGTTACACACAGTTACACACACAGTTACACACAGTACACACACACAGTTACACACACAGTACACACACAGTACACACACAGTACACACACACAGTTACACACAGTTACACACACAGTTACACACAGTACACACACACACAGTTACACACACAGTACACACACAGTACACACACACAGTACACACACAGTACACACACATTATACACATACAGTACACACACAGTACACACACACAGTACACACACACACAGTACACGTACACACAGACAGTACACACACAGTACACACACAGTACACACACAGTACACACACACAGTACACACACACAGTACACACACAGTACACAAACACAGTACACACACAGTACACACACACAGTACACAAACACAGTACACACACTACACACACACACAGTACACACACACACACAGTACACACACACACAGTACACACACACAGTAGTGGTGGTGAGTGGTGTTGAGTGAGTGATGGTGAGTGAGTGGTGAATGAGTGGTGAGCGAGTGGTGAGTGAGTGAGTGGTGGTGAGCGAGCGGTGAGTGAGTGGTGGTGAGCGAGTGGTGAGTGAGTGGTGAGTGAGTGGTGTAGTGGGTGAGTGAGTGAGTGGTAAGTGAGTGGTGAGTGAGTGGCTGGGTGACTGAGTGGTGAGTGAGTGGTGAGTGAGCGGTGAGTGGTGTAGTGAGTGAGTGGTGGTAAGTGGTGGTGAGCGAGTGGTGAGTGAGTGAGCGAGTGGTGTAGTGAGTGGTGAGTGAGTGAGTGGTGAGTGAGTGGTGAGTGGGTGAGCGAGTGGTGAGTGAGTGAGTGGTGAGTGGGTGGGTGAGTGAGTGAGTGGTGAGTGAGTGTTGAGTGAGTTGTCAGTGAGTGAGTGGTGAGTGGTGTAGTGAGTTGTGAATGAGTGGTGAGCGAGTGTTGAGTGCTGGTGGTGAGCGAGTGGTGAGCGAGTGGTGAGTAACCTTGTAGTCCTCCCCGTAGGTGTGTACCAGTCGATGCACCATCAGTACGATGTCGTTAGAGATGCTGGGTGGTGAGTGGTGGTGGTGAGCGAGTGGTGAGTGAGTGGTGAGCGAGTGGTGGTGAGTGGTGAATGAGTGGCGAGTGGTGGTGAGTGAGTGGGTGAGTGAGTGACTGACTGAGTGGGTGAGTGAGTGAGTGAGTGGTGGGTGAGTGGGTGGGTGAGTGAGTGAGTGGGTGAGTGAGTGGTGAGTGAGTGAGTGTGTGAGTGAGCGAGTGGTGAGCGAGTGGTGAGCGAGTGGTGAGCGAGTGGTGAGCGAGTGGTGAGCGAGTGGTGAGTAACCTTGTAGCCCTCCCCGAAGGTGTGTACGAGTCGACGCACCATCAGTACGATGTCGTTAGAGATGCTGGGTGGTGAGTGGTGGTGGTGAGCGAGTGGTGAGTGGTGGTGGTGTTGAGCGAGCGGTGGTGGTGAGCGAGTGACTGACTGAGTGAGGAGTGAGTGAGTGGGTGAGTGAGTGACTGAGTGAGTGGGTGATGGTGAGTGGTGATGGTGAACGAGTGGTGAATGAGTGGCGAGTGGTGGTGGTGAGTGAGTGGGTGGGTGAGTGAGTGAGTGACTGACTGAGTGAGTGGGTGAGTGAGTGGGACGAGTGAGTGAGTGGTGGGTGAGTGGGTGAGTGAGTGAGTGACTGACTGAGTGTGTGAGTGAGTGAGTGGGTGAGTGACTGACTGACTGAGTGACTGACTGAGTGGGTGAGTGACTGACTGAGTGAGTGGGTGAGTGCGTGAGTGGTGGGTGACTGAGTGAGTGAGTGGTGGGTGAGTGAGTGACTGACTGAGTGAGTGGGTGAGTGACTGACTGACTGACTGAGTGACTGACTGAGTGAGTGGGTGAGTGGGTGAGTGAGTGGTGACTGAGTGAGTGGGTGAGTGACTGACTGACTGACTGAGTGACTGACTGAGTGAGTGGGTGAGTGGGTGAGTGAGTGGTGACTGAGTGAGTGGGTGAGTGACTGACTGACTGACTGAGTGACTGACTGAGTGAGTGGGTGAGTGAGTGGGTGAGTGAGTGAGTGGGTGAGTGACTGACTGACTGAGTGTGTGAGTGAGTGAGTGGGTGAGTGAGTGGTGACTGAGTGAGTGGGTGAGTGAGTGAGTGGTGAGTGAGTGACTGAGTGAGTGACTGACTGAGTGAGTGGGTGAGTGACTGACTGACTGAGTGACTGACTTACTGAGTGAGTGGGTGAGTGAGTGACTGACTTAGTGAGTGGGTGAGTGACTGACTGAGTGTGTGAGTGAGTGGGTGAGTGAGTGGTGACTGAGTGAGTGGGTGAGTGAGTGGGTGAGCGGTGAGTGAGTGACTGAGTGAGTGACTGACTGAGTGAGTGACTGACTGAGTGAGTGAGTGAGCGGTGGTGGTGAGCAAGCGGTGAGCGAGTGGGTGAGCGAGTGACTGAGTGGGTGAGTGAGTGAGCGAGTGAGTGAGTGGGTGAGTGAGTGAGTGGGTGACTGAGTGAGTGGGTGGGTGAGTGAGTGACTGAGTGAGTGAGTGGGTGAGTGACTGACTGAGTGACTGAATGACTGAGTGACTGACTGAGTGAGTGACTGAGTGACTGAGTGAGTGAGTGAGCGGTGGTGGTGTTGAGTGGTGAGTAACCTTGTAGTCTTCCCCGTAGGTGTGTACCAGTCGACGCACCATCAGTACGATGTCGTTCGAGATGCTGGGTGGTGAGTGGTGGTGGTGAGTGAGTGGAGAGTGGTGGTGGTGAGTGAGTGGTGAGTGGTGGTGGTGAGTGAGTGGTGAGTGGTGGTGGTGAGCGAGTGACTGACTGAGTGGGTGAGTGACTGACTGACTGAGTGACTGACTGACTGAGTGAGTGGTGAGTGAGTGGCTGAGTGAGTGAGTGACTGAGTGACTGACTGACTGAGTGAGTGGTGAGTGAGTGGCTGAGTGAGTGAGTGACTGAGTGAGTGACTGACTGAGTGTGTGAGTGAGTGGGTGAGTGGTGAGTGAGTGACTGAGTGAGTGAGTGAGTGACTGACTGAGTGAGTGACTGACTGAGTGAGTGGGTGAGTGAGTGACTGACTGAGTGAGTGACTGACTGAGTGAGTGACTGAGTGAGTGAGCGGTGAGTAACCTTGTAGTCTTCCCCGTAGGCGTGTACCAGTCGACGCACCATCAGTACGATGTCGTTCGAGACGCTGGGTGGTGAGTGGTGGTGGTGAGCGAGTGGTGACTGAGTGGTGAGTGGGTGAGTGACTGAGTGAGTGGGTGAGTGAGTGAGTGGTGGGTGAGTGGGTGGGTGAGTGACTGAGTGAGTGGATGAGTGGATGAGTGGTGAGTGAGTGGGTGGGTGAGTGACTGGGTGAGTGGGTGACTGACTGAGTGAGTGGGTGAGTGACTGACTGACTGAGTGGGTGGGTGAGTGGGTGTGAGTGACTGACTGAGTGAGTGACTGACTGAGTGAGTGACTGACTGAGTGAGTGACTGACTGAGTGGGTGAGTGACTGACTGAGTGACTGACTGAGTGAGTGACTGACTGAGTGACTGAGTGAGTGAGTGGTGAGTAACCTTGTAGTCTTCCCCGTAGGTGTGTACCAGTCGACGCACCATCAGTACGATGTCGTTCGAGACGCTGGGTGGTGACGGAGTCACCGGCACCGCAGCCTCTTGCTCAAGGGCTGAAGCACAGCAAGCAACGTCGCTTAGCATGCACAAAGTGTTCGTACGTTTCGGTTTAAAGCTTTCCTGACTTACAGGGATAATTATTATTGTTGGTACTTCCGGTAAAGTCACCGCCACGTAGATAGGGAAACAATAAAATAATAAAAATATAAAACAATTAAATTATTGTAAAACAATAAAATTATTATTCTTGGTTCTTTGGGTAAAGTCACCACCACGTAGATAGCGAAACAATAAAATAATAAAAATATAAAACAATAAAATTATTATTCTTGGTTCTTTCGGTAAAGTCACCACCACGTTAGATAGGGAAACAATAAAATAATAAAAATATAAAACAATAAAATTATTGTAAAACAATAAAATTATTATTCTTGGTTCTTTGGGTAAAGTCACCACCACGTAAAAGGGAAACAATAAAATAATAAAAATATAAAACAACAAAAATTATTATTCTTGGTTCTTTGGGTAAAGTCACCACCACGTAGATAGGGAAACAATAAAATAATAAAAATATATAAAACAATAAAATTATTGTACAACAATAAAATTATTATTCTTGGTTCTTCCGGTAAAGTCACCACCACGTAGATAGGGAAACAATAAAATAATAAAAATATATAAAACAATAAAATTATTGTACAACAATAAAATTATTATTCTTGGTTCTTCCGGTAAAGTCACCACCACGTAGATAGGGAAACAATAAAGTAATAAAAAATATATTAAACAATTAAATTATTGTAAAACAATAAAATTATTATTCTTGGTTCTTTGGGTAAAGTCACCACCACGTTAGATAGGGAAACAATAAAATAATAAAAATATAAAAAAATAAAATTATTATTCTTGGTTCTTCCGGAAAAGTCACCACCACGTAGATAGGGAAACAATAAAATTAAAAAAATATATAAAACAATAAAATTATTATTCTTGCTTCTTTGTGTAAAGTCACCACCACGTAGAAGGGACACAATAAAATAATAAAAATATAAAACAATAAAATTATTATTCTTGGTTCTTTGGGTAAAGTCACCACCACGTAGATAGGGAAACAATAAAATAATAAAAATATAAAACAATAAAATTATTATTCTTGGTTCTTTGGGTAAAGTCACCACCACGTTAGATAGGGAAACAATAAAATAATAACAATATAAAACAATAAAATTATTGTACAACAATAAAATTATTATTCTTGGTTCTTTCGGTAAAGTCACCACCACGTTAGATAGGGAAACAATAAAATAATAAAAATATAAAGCAATAAAATTATTGTAAAACAATAAAATTATTATTCTTGGTTCTTCCGGTAAAGTCACCACCACGTAGATAGGGAAACAATAAAATAATACAAATATATAAAAACGATTAAATTCTCACTACCTTTCGACCGCAACACAAGCGATCATCATCAGGTGCGAAAAACCACAGCAAAGAACATTTAACAATGAAAATAAAATCTACCGACTCGACGGAAGTATCCAGGAGCTTTAACAGAGTGCCGTGGTGAGGCCTAGTCCCAAGGAGCATCGCCGGCCTCGGCGAGACTGGCACGTGCGGTGAGCGAGGAAAGTTGGTGGGTGCGGTGAGTGAGGATAGGTGAGTGCGGTGAGTGAGGATAGGCGCGTGCGGTGAGCGAGGAAAGTTGGTGGGTGCGGTGAGTGTGGTGAGCTCACCTTGTGCTACGTGAGGTTTTGTCGCCGGTTCTTTTAGATCCCTGCGTCTCATCTAGCGACGGATAGAGATGCTCAGCCATTACTCACCCACACACTCACCCACACACTCACCACTCACGTACTCACCCACTCACGTACTCACCCACACACTCACCACTCAAGCACACACTCACCACTCACCACTCACCCACACACACTCACCACTCACTCCTCACCCACACACGCACCACTCACCCACACACACTCACCCCTCACACACACCCACACACTCACCACCTCACCCACACACACCCACACACTCACCACCTCACCCACACACACTCACCACCTCGCCCACACACACACTCACCACCTCACCCACACGCACAATCACACACTAACACAAACACACACTCACACGGAGTGCCGGTGCCAGGCTAGGTGCACGCTCACCCTCAAGGGCACACTTTGGTTGGGGTCGCTGGCCAGCCCCATGTCCTCCAAGTTCCTCCGTGCGGAACGCCGTCCATCCCAAGCGGCCCGCACCACGTCGCTACACACACCCGGGGCGGAGACAGGCAGTGTTCACACGGAGCGCACCTAGGGGTGGGCCGGTCCCAGCTACGCACACGCCCAGGGGGACAGGGTTCATACACGGACACACACACACACACAGACAGACACACAGGTATACACAGATATACACAACAGCCGCCGTTGGCCACGAAGTGGCGGTGACGTCACCACGACGCTTGTGCCAGGCTATGTGCACCCTGAGGCCACGTGAAGTGTCGAACGCCCGCTGGCAGGAGGTCACGGGGCAGACCCAGGTGCCACGGGTCGACTGACTGAGATGACTGGCTGATGCACCACCTGTGCCCCCTACTGTGCCAACCTGCTGTGCTTTAGCCACCCGGCGCTCAGCTCGTTGTTGTGAGCGTCGCTCCTCCGCCCTCCGTTGTTGTTGGAGGGCGACTGCCTCCAACTGCCCAGTAGCATCCTTCACGAGCCTCCTCCACAGAGGCCGATCTTGACACCGCTGGTACCAGTCATCGGCAAGTCCACTCAGCTCCACGTCCTCCTGTACCACATCACTCCATCTCTTCTCTAGCCCGTGCCGCGCCCGCTTAGCGCCCTCAATCCGGCCAAACAAAAGCTGTTTCGGCATGCGGTGGCTGGGCATGCGGGCTACATGACCCAGCCATCACAGCCTTGCCTGCCGGAGGAGCTCACCGATGGGACCCTGCCCAGATCTTTCAAGGATTTGTGAGCTCCTCACACAATCCAGTCTGGTTAAACCCAGGATGGATCGTAGGCAGGCCAGCTTAAATGTTTCTAACCGGCAAAGATGTTCCATTAGGGGGGTCCACGTTTCGCAAGCGTAGAGAAGGGAGGGAATGACCGTGGCCAAGAAGATCTGAAGCTTAGTGCGGAGCGACAGACCAGGTAGCTTCCACACAGCGTTACGCAACCGATGAAAAGATATTGCCGCTCGACTGATTCGGAGTAAGACCTCTGCTGTTAAACTGGAGCAAGTCATAAGCACATTGCCCAGGTATGGGAAACTCTCCACTCTCTCCACAACTGCCCCATCACCGATTGGGAGTTGTGGGGGTGGAGTGTCCGATGGTACAAAATACCCAGGCAGGTGCTTAGTTTTGGTGGGGCTGATGGTAAGGCCCCACCTCTTAGTGGCACGCTCCAGTCTCAGCAGCAGCGTCTCCAACTCCTCCTCTGAATGAGCAGCTATTACCAAATCCTCAGCATACATAACGTGGTTGAGCAATAGGGAGCCATCCCTTGACCGCACCCGGGCATCGATTAGCCTCCCATTATATCTGTACCATATGGAGATTCCTCCGGTACAGCTATTGAAGGCTTCACGAACTACGTGGTCAAAATAGATGTTAAATAATGTGGGAGCCAGAGGACATCCCTGTCGCACCCTAAGGTGTACAGGGAATGGCTCTGACTCCCGGCCACGTAGTTTTACCCGGGCCCGTTCACCATCATGAAGGTCCTTAATGATCGTGAGCAGAGGGTCAGGTACTCCAAAAGCACGAAGAACGACCCAGAGCCCAGGCCTACTGATGGTATCATAGGCCTGGACCAGGTCAATAAAGCAGAGATGTAGGTCTTGTTGGAATTCCCTACACCTCTGCTGTAGCAGACGGACAGAAAATATGGCATCTGTGCAGGACCGCCCTTTCCTGAAACCGCATTGGGGCTCCGCAAGCCTCTCCTCAGCGTGCCTGGCAAGGCGATGCTGAATAATCCTTGCCAGGACCTTTCCCGGCACACTGAGGAGTGAGATGCCCCTGTAGTTGTTACAGTCTGTGCGGTCCCCCTTCTTAAAAAGGGGGACCACCAGGGCATCCTTCCAATCCTGCGGAACCCGTCCAGTGGTCCAGACTGTTGTTATGATGTCATATAGGGCAGTCTGTGCACAAACGCCACCCTCCCTCAGCATTTCGCTTGGGAGATCATCTCTGCCCGCTGCCTTTCCTGGTCTCAGACTCCGGATCGCCTTCAATACTTCCTCAGCAGATGGCACCTCAGCCAGCCACTCACAGGGGGTGACTTCTTCCAATATTTGAGGCACCGCAGCCTCAGCAGGGTCATCCTCACTTTGTGCCACGATGTTTTCCTGGCTGAGGGATTTTCCCTCCCCCAGGACCTCACAGAAATGCTCAGCAAATCTGCGAACCTGTTCCTGGGGGTCGGAGATTGGATCACCGTTTTTTCCCCTAATGATGGTAATAGGTGTGGTGCTGCAGGTTACTTTTTTGATCGAGTTAAATAGAGATTTGTGATCACGGGCCACTGAGGCAGACTCCATCTCCTCAGCAACCCGCGACCACCACCCATCCTTGCAGCGCCTCACGGCTCTCCAAACCTCCGAGCGAAGGCTGCGGTAAGCCTCCTCATTCTCTGACGTGGGATTCTGTAGCCGATGACAGTGGGCCTGTCGCTTTTTCTCAACCATCCTGAACACCTCCTCTGTCAGCCAGGGTCTCTGGGGAGGTCTGGACCGCATACCCAAAGCAGCCATTGCAGCTGCATGAGTCACAGTCCTAAACCTCGCCCATTTACCCTCGACATCAGGAGGAGTCGGGGACGATGCCAATCCCAGCCGCAAGCGATGATGAAATTCTCGCTTGCAACTTTCATCAGATAATTGAGACCAGCCCACTTTATGTTGGAATGGGGTCCTGGGTGTACACCCACCACCGGAGTGGAAGAATGGCAGGCGCATCTTACAGATGACTAGTCGATGGTCAGAGGGCAGATCAGCTCCACGGTAGGTCCTGGTGTCAAGGACATGGGCTCGCATTCGCTGGTCCGTCACTATGTAGTCCAGCAGATGTTCTTGCTTGGACCCGGCATGCATCCATGATGTTGTGTGGATGCGCCGATGCCGGAACAGCGTGTTGGTAATTACAAGCCCATGGGCTGCACAAAAATCTAGCAGCCTCCTACCGTTGTTATTGAGCTGATCTGGCCCATGCCCTCCAATCACTCCAGACCAGGTGCCAGTATCATGACCAACTCGGGCATTGAAGTCACCCAACATGATGACTCTATCCCGAGGGGTCACTTTAGCCAGCACCTGTGACAGGAGGTCATAGAAGGCATCTGACTCATCGGCTTTGCCTGCATCCCTCCACGGATGTTCATCTTCGGTGGGGGCATAAGTAACCACGACCACCATTCCTCGCCTCCGGTTGATGGGAAGGCGAGCCCAAAGTAGCCTGGGGCTTACAGCTTCCCACACCTCACCGCCACGCTCCCACGCCCCCTTCATTCTTTTGTTCAAAAGAAGACCCACACCCTGTTGTTTGGCAGTCTGCTGCCCCGAGTAAAGGACTGTCCACCCCTCATGGTGGCAGGAGCCAGAGCCGGTCCACCGGACCTCCTGAATGCCGCATAGATCCAGGCGGTACCGGTCCAGCTCCCGACAGAGGAGTGGCAGCCTCTCCTCTGCAGTGAGCGTTCGAACATTCCACGTGGCCACCCGTAGTGGCTTTTCGTTGTTTCTGGAGTAGCCCCGAGGGTAGGTATTCAATCTCCTGGCTCCGCCAATTGGGGTTTGGCCAGGAGACGTCATAGACGCCTGGCCCCCCGGGGCCTCCGGCACAAGCTTATTTGTTACATATTTCAGTTTAACTCGTAGTTTTGTGGTAATTAATTGAAGGTGGAGGGGTTACCAGCCCCTCGCACCCGTCCAGAGCCCCCGTTTAGCCCCTGTGGTGGACACATATGCCATGAGGGGAGGAGCCAATCAAAATTGGATCTCCCCCCACAGCACTGTCCACGACAGAGTTTCCCGTCCGGCACCACGAGGAGGTAGCTACACACAGACACACATACACAGCTACACACACACAGAGACACAGACACACACAGAGGCACAAACACACACCTACACACAGACACACATACACAGCTACACACACAGAGACACAGACACACACAGAGACACAAACATACAGCTACACACAGACACATACACAGCTACACACACACAGAGACACAAACATACAGCTACACACAGACACACATACACAGCTACACACACACACAGACACACACACACAGACACAAACACACAGCTACACACAGCTACACACATACACAGCTACACACACAGAGACACAGACACACACAGAGACACAAACACACAGGTACACACAGACACACATACACAGCTACACACACACAGACACACACATAGACACAAACACACACCTACACACAGACACACATACACAGCTACACACACACAGAGACAGAGACACACAGAGACACAACACACACAGCTACACACACAGACACACACAGAGACACAAACATACAGCTACACACAGACACACATACACAGCTACATGCACACAGAGACACAGACACACACAGAGACACAGACACATACAGCTACACACAGACACATACACAGCTACACACACACAGAGACACACACAGAGACACAAACACACAGCTACACACAGACACACATACACAGCTACACACAGAGACACAGACACACACAGAGACACAAACACACAGCTACACACAGACACACATACACAGCTACACACAGAGACACAGACATACACAGAGACACAAACACACACCTACACACACAGACACAGCTACACACAGACACACACAGAGACACATACACAGCTACACACACACAGAGACACACACAGAGACACAAATACACACCTACACACAGACACACATACACAGCTACACACACACAGACACACACACAGACACAAACACACAGCTACACACAGACACACATACACACATAGAGACACAGACACACACAGAGACACAAACATACAGCTACACAGACACGCTCTGTCTGTATCTCTCTCCCTGTCTCTCTTCCTCTCTCTGTGTGTCTCTCTGTCTCTGTCTGTGTGTCTCTCTGTGTCTCTCTCTGTGTGTCTCTCTGTGTGTCTCTCTGTGTGTCTCTCTGTGTGTCTCTATCTGTATGTCTCTATCTTTGTGTCTCTGTCTCTTTCTGTGTCTCTCTGTGTCTCTCTCTCTGTGTGTCTGTGTGTCTCTATCTGTGTGTCTCTCTGTCTCTCTTTCTCTTTGTGTCTCTCTGTGTCTCTCTCTCTCTGTGTCTCTATGTGTCTCTCTGTGTGTCTCTATGTGTCTCTCTCTCTGTGTCTCTATGTGTGTCTCTCTGTGTGTCTCTCTCTGTGTCTCTCTCTGTGTCTCTCTCTGTGTGTCTCTCTGTGTGTCTCTCTCTGTGTGTCTCTCTCTCTGTGTCTCTCTCTCTGTGTGTCTCTCTCACTCTACTACTCTCTCTGTGTCTCTCTCTGTGTCTCTCTGTATGTCTCTCTCTGTGTCTGTGTGTGTGTCTCTCTCTCTGTGTCTCTCTCTCTCTGTGTCTCTCTCCTACTCTCTCTCCCACTCTGTCTCTCTCTCTCTGTGTGTCTCTCTCTCCCACTCTGTGTCTCTGTGTGTCTGTGTGTCTCTCTGTGTGTCTCTCTCTGTGTCCCTCTCTGTCTCTCACTCTGTCTCTCACTCTCCTACTCTCTCTCACTCTGTGTCACTCTCCTACTCTGTGTCTCTCTCTCTCTCTCTGTCTCTCTCTCTCTCTGTCTCTCTCTGTGTCTCTCACTCTGTCTCTCTCTGTGTGTCTCTCTCTGTGTCTCTCTCTGTGTCTCTCACTCTGTGTCTCTCTCACTCTACTACTCTCTCTCTGTGTGTCTCTCCCTCTCTGTGTGTCTCTCTGTCTCTCTCTCTGTGTCTCTCCCTCTCTGTGTCTGTGTCTCTCTCTGTGTGTCTCTCTCTCTCACTCTCTCACCACTCGATGCGGGGATTCTCGCGCCGCTTGTTCCGCTTGTGTCTCTCTCTGTGTGTCTCTCTCTGTCTCTCTCTGTGTCTCTCTCTGTGTCTCTCCTACTCTCTGTCTCTCTGTGTGTCTCTCTCTGTGTCTCTCTCTCTGTCTCTCACTCTCTGTGTCTCTCTCTCTGTGTCTCTCTCTCTGTGTCTCTCTCTGTGTCTCTCTCTGTGTCTCTCTCTCTGTGTCTCTCTCTCTGTGTCTCTCTCTCACTGTGTCTCTCTCTCACTGTGTCTCTCTCTCACTGTGTCTCTCTCTCACTGTGTCTCTCTCTGTGTCTCTCTCACTCTGTGTCTCTCTCTCTGTCTCTCCTACTCTCTCTGTGTCTCTGTCTCTCCTACTCTCTCTCTGTGTGTCTCTCACCACTCGATGCGGGGATTCTCGCGCCGCTTGTTCCGCTTGTGTCTCTCTGTGTGTCTCTCTGTGTGTCTCTCTGTGTGTCTCTCTGTGTGTCTCTCTCTGTCTCTCTCTGTCTCTCCTACTCTCTCTCTCTCTCTGTGTCTCTCTCTGTGTCTCTCTCTCACTCTCTCACCACTCGATGCGGGGATTCTCGCGCCGCTTGTTCCGCTTGTGTGTCTCTCTGTGTGTGTCTCTCTGTGTCTCTCACTGTGTCTCTCTCTCTGTCTCTCACTCTCTCTCTGTGTCTCTCTCTGTCTCTCTCTCTCTCTCTGCGTCTCTCACCACTCGATGCGGGGATTCTCGTGCCGCTTGTTCCGCTTCTGTCTCTCTGTGTCTCTCTCTGTCTCTCTGTCTCTCCTACTCTCTCTCTCTGTCTCTCTCTGTGTGTCTCTGTCTCTCCTACTCTCTGTGTGTCTCTCTCTCTCTCACTCTGTGTCTCTGTCTCTCTGTGTCTCTGTGTGTCTCTCTCTGTGTCTCTCACTCTCTGCGTCTCTCTCTCTCTGTGTGTCTCTCTCTCTGTGTCTCTCTCTCTCACTCTGTGTCTCTCACTCTCCTACTCTCTCTCTCTGTGTCTCTCACCACTCGATGCGGGGATCCTCGCGCCGCTTGTTCCGCTTGTGTCTCTCTCTGTGTGTCTCTCTGTGTGTCTGTCTCTCTGTGTGTCTCTGTCTCTCCTACTCTCTGTCTCTCTGTGTGTCTCTCTGTCTGTGTCTCTCTCTGTGTCTCTCTATCACTCTCTGTGTCTCACTGTGTCTCTCTCTGTGTCTCTCTCTCTGTCTCTCTCACTGTGTCTCTCTCTCTCTGTGTCTCTCTCTGTGTCTCTCCTACTCTCTCTCTGTGTCTCTCACCACTCGATGCGGGGATTCTCGCGCCGCTTGTTCCGCTTCGCCGCGTTGCGTCGGTTTAGCCCAAACTGGAATCGGTTCTTCCTGCGGGTGCGCGCCTTCGGCATCGTGGGGGAGATGAGAGGAGGTGGGGGGAGATGAGAGGGTGGAGGAGATGAGGGCAGACGGGGGAGGGAGATGAGAGGGTGGGGGAGATGGAGCGGCAGGGAGACGAGAGAGACAGAGGGAGCTGAGAGAGACGAGAGGGGGGAGCTGAGAGAGACGAGAGAGATGGAGCTGAGCGAGACGAGAGAGACGAGATGGAGCTGAGACGAGACGAGAGATGGAGCTGAGAGAGACGAGAGATGGAGCTGAGAGAGAGGAGATGGAGCTGAGACGAGACGAGAGATGGAGCTGAGCGAGGGAGCTGAGACGAGATGGAGCTGAGAGAGACGAGAGAGAGGGGAGCGAGCTGAGCGAGACGCAGCGAGGCCTCGTGATCAGCAGCACGTGGAGTCAGCGAACCAAGAGCAGCACCACGTGGCGCGCGTGACCTTTCACCCCCAGTGACCTCTCACCTTTCCCCTCCCCCCGAGGCCGGAAGCAGCGCGTCACTTCCGCCAAAAGGATTTTTTTTACAGTGAAGTTTGTTATTCCCGTTTGTTGTTGTTACAGATGGACTCAGTCGTCGTTCTTGTTGTTGTGTAAAGAATAAAGCGAAGGCGGAAATCGTTAGAAGTCGACTAACAATTTATTTATTTTATTTAAAACAACACTGCCCTCAAGAAATCTGTTTCCGGTTCACCCCGCGTCGCTTCCGGCAAATGCACCGCGCGAGTGTAAGGGTGACGTCTTCGGTTCGTCCCGCCCTCTCTCACAAGCTCCTCCCCCCCAAGTCCTCATTTCCACCACGTCCCCGCCCCCTTTACTCATTCGTTCCCGCCCCCATTTCCACCACGTCCCCGCCCCCTTTTCCTCATTCGTCCCCGCCCCCATTTCCATCAACGTCCCGCCCCCTTTTCTTCATTCGTCCCCGCCCCCATTTCTACCACGTCCCGCCCCCTTTTCCTCATTCGTCCCCGCCCCCATTTCCACCACGCCCCCGCCCCCTTTACTCATTCGTCCCCGCCCCCATTTCCATCATGTCCCGCCCCTTTTCCTCATTCGTCCCCGCCCCCATTTCCATCACGTCCCGCCCCTTTTTCCTCATTCGTCCCCGCCCCCATTTCCATCAACGTCCCGCCCCCTTTCCTCCTAAGCCCCGCCCCTTTTCAACATCTCCACGCTTGAGTGCGTCACCGACGGCGGGCATCTTACAAGGGGGCGGGGAAAACGTCGCATGCTGTGACGTCACCCGTACAGCGGTGGGAGGAGGGGGTGGGCTTGTTGATGACGTCATGTGAAAATTTTGCCGTTGGTCACCGGATGACGTCATGCGGATAGTTTTCTGGCTCTTGAAGGTGCCCATGGGGTTGACCGCTGCTGCTGTGCCAGGCTAGGTGCACGAGGAGGAGCTCACGTGACAGAGCCAGCAGGTGCCATGGGTTGGCTGCTGTGCCAGGCTAGGTGCATCAGTCCGGCCAGGTAGCAACAAAAACCACTCACCCAAGATGGCGGATGGCGGCCTCACAGGACGACGAAACTACCGGTGGGGGCGGGGCCGCTGGTTGAGGGCGGAGTCAAAGGGCCGACAGTTGGGCGTGGCTGATAGGGGCGGGGCATGATGGAAATGGAGGCGGGGCCGAGTTGCCAAGGGGCGGGTGTGCGGTGGAAGGAGTGGGGGGAGGGGGCGGAGCGATATTGAATGCGGGGCGGGGGGCGAATTGGCAATGGGCGGGGGCGAGTGAGAAAAGAGGAGGGGCGTAGGAGGAAGGGAGGGGCGAGTGAGAAAAGAGGAGGGGCGTAGGAGGAAGGGAGGGGCGAGTGAGAAAAGAGGAGGAGCGAGTGAGAAAAGAGGAGGGGCGTAGGAGGAAGGGAGGGGCGAGTGAGAAAAGAGGAGGGGCGAGTGAGAAAAGAGGAGGGGCGTAGGAGGAAGGGAGGGGCGAGTGAGAAAAGAGGAGGGGCGTAGGAGGAAGGGAGGGGCGAGTGAGGAAAGAGGAGGGGCGTAGGAGGAAGGGAGGGGCGAGTGAGAAAAGAGGAGGAGCGAGTGAAAAAAGAGGAGGGGCGTAGAAGGAAGGGAGGGGCGAGTGAGAAAAGAGGAGGGGCGAGTGAGAAAAGAGGAGGGGCGTAGGAGGAAGGGAGGGGCGAGTGAGAAAAGAGGAGGGGCGAGTGAGAAAAGAGGAGGGGCGTAGGAGGAAGGGAGGGGCGAGTGAGAAAAGAGGAGGAGCGAGTGAGAAAAGAGGAGGGGCGTAGGAGGAAGGGAGGGGCGAGTCAGAAAAGAGGAGGGGCGAGTGAGAAAAGAGGAGGGGCGTAGGAGGAAGGGAGGGGCGAGTGAGAAAAGAGGAGGGGCGTAGGAGGAAGGGAGGGGCGAGTGAGGAAAGAGGAGGGGCGTAGGAGGAAGGGAGGGGCGAGTGAGAAAAGAGGAGGAGCGAGTGAAAAAAGAGGAGGGGCGTAGAAGGAAGGGAGGGGCGAGTGAGAAAAGAGGAGGGGCGAGTGAGAAAAGAGGAGGGGCGTAGGAGGAAGGGAGGGGCGAGTGAGAAAAGAGGAGGGGCGAGTGAGAAAAGAGGAGGGGCGTAGGAGGAAGGGAGGGGCGAGTGAGAAAAGAGGAGGGGCGAGTGAGAAAAGAGGAGGGGCGTAGGAAGAAGGGAGGGGCGAGTGAGAAAAGAGGAGGGGCGAGTGAGAAAAGAGGAGGGGCGTAGGAGGAAGGGAGGGGCGAGTGAGAAAAGAGGAGGGGCGAGTGAAAAAAGAGGAGGGGCGTAGGAGGAAGGGAGGGGCGAGTGAGAAAAGAGGAGGGGCGAGTGAGAAAAGAGGAGGGGCGTAGGAGGAAGGGAGGGGCGAGTGAGAAAAGAGGAGGGGCGAGTGAGAAAAGAGGAGGGGCGTAGGAGGAAGGGAGGGGCGAGTGAGAAAAGAGGAGGGGCGTAGGAGGAAGGGAGGGGCGAGTGAGAAAAGAGGAGGGGCGTAGGAGGAAGGGAGGGGCGAGTGAAAAAAGAGGAGGGGCGTAGGAGGAAAGGAGGGGCGAATGAGAAAAGAGGAGGGGCGAGTGAGAAAAGAGGAGGGGCGTAGGAGGAAGGGAGGGGCGAGTGAGAAAAGAGGAGGGGCGAGTGAGAAAAGAGGAGGGGCGTAGGAGGAAGGGAGGGGCGAGTGAGAAAAGAGGAGGGGCGAGTGAGAAAAGAGGAGGGGCGTAGGAGGAAGGGAGGGGCGAGTGAGAAAAGAGGAGGAGCGAGTGAGAAAAGAGGAGGGGCGTAGGAGGAAGGGAGGGGCGAGTGAGAAAAGAGGAGGGGCGAGTGAGAAAAGAGGAGGGGCGTAGGAGGAAGGGAGGGGCGAGTGAGAAAAGAGGAGGGGCGTAGGAGGAAGGGAGGGGCGAGTGAGGAAAGAGGAGGGGCGTAGGAGGAAGGGAGGGGCGAGTGAGAAAAGAGGAGGAGCGAGTGAAAAAAGAGGAGGGGCGTAGAAGGAAGGGAGGGGCGAGTGAGAAAAGAGGAGGGGCGAGTGAGAAAAGAGGAGGGGCGTAGGAGGAAGGGAGGGGCGAGTGAGAAAAGAGGAGGGGCGAGTGAGAAAAGAGGAGGGGCGTAGGAGGAAGGGAGGGGCGAGTGAGAAAAGTGGAGGAGCGAGTGAGAAAAGAGGAGGGGCGTAGGAGGAAGGGAGGGGCGAGTGAGAAAAGAGGAGGGGCGAGTGAGAAAAGAGGAGGGGCGTAGGAGGAAGGGGCGAGTGAGAAAAGAGGAGGGGCGTAGGAGGAAGGGAGGGGCGAGTGAGGAAAGAGGAGGGGCGTAGGAGGAAGGGAGGGGCGAGTGAGAATAGAGGAGGAGCGAGTGAAAAAAGAGGAGGGGCGTAGAAGGAAGGGAGGGGCGAGTGAGAAAAGAGGAGGGGCGAGTGAGAAAAGAGGAGGGGCGTAGGAGGAAGGGAGGGGCGAGTGAGAAAAGAGGAGGGGCGAGTGAGAAAAGAGGAGGGGCGTAGGAGGAAGGGAGGGGCGAGTGAGAAAAGAGGAGGGGCGAGTGAGAAAAGAGGAGGGGCGTAGGAAGAAGGGAGGGGCGAGTGAGAAAAGAGGAGGGGCGAGTGAGAAAAGAGGAGGGGCGTAGGAGGAAGGGAGGGGCGAGTGAGAAAAGAGGAGGGGCGAGTGAAAAAAGAGGAGGGGCGTAGGAGGAAGGGAGGGGCGAGTGAGAAAAGAGGAGGGGCGAGTGAGAAAAGAGGAGGGGCGTAGGAGGAAGGGAGGGGCGAGTGAGAAAAGAGGAGGGGCGAGTGAGAAAAGAGGAGGGGCGTAGGAGGAAGGGAGGGGCGAGTGAGAAAAGAGGAGGGGCGTAGGAGGAAGGGAGGGGCGAGTGAGAAAAGAGGAGGGGCGTAGGAGGAAGGGAGGGGCGAGTGAAAAAAGAGGAGGGGCGTAGGAGGAAAGGAGGGGCGAATGAGAAAAGAGGAGGGGCGAGTGAGAAAAGAGGAGGGGCGTAGGAGGAAGGGAGGGGCGAGTGAGAAAAGAGGAGGGGCGAGTGAGAAAAGAGGAGGGGCGTAGGAGGAAGGGAGGGGTGGTGATGTGGCGAGGGGGTGGGGGGGGGCGTGTTGGAAATGGGGGCGGGGCGTGGAAGCAAGGAAGGGGGGGGGCGAGTGAGAACATGGGGGGGGGGAGAGGCGGGGCTTAAGACGGAGGAGACAGGGGGCGAGTGAGGACATGGGGGCGGGGACGTATGAGGCAGGGGGCGGGGCGTACGAGTCAGGGGGCGGGACTAGGGGAGGGGGCTTGTGTGATGACGTGGGTGGGGGAGGAGCCTCTCCCCTCCACACAGTGTTACAGAACCTCGAGCGGAGGCTGCAATCCGCGACCCTGAGCTGAAGGAGGCCGCTACGAGGAGTTGTGGACAGAGGCCTGGGGGCATCGACAGCGCAGCGATCTCCGGGCGCGGCAACTCCCTGCCCACCAACGTCACCACCACCACCACCCCCCACTGTGACCTCAACTACGGTAGAGGCCTTGACCTCAAACCCACTCACTCACACACCCACTCACTCACCCACCCACTCACCCACTCACTCACCCACTCACTCAGCCACTCACTCACTCAGCCACTCACTCACTCACCCACTCACTCACCCACTCACTCACCCACTCACTCACTCAGCCACTCACTCACTCACCCACTCACTCACCCACTCACTCACTCACCCACCCACTCACCCACTCACTCACTCACTCACCCACTCACCCACTCACTCACTCACCCACTCACTCACCCACTCACTCACCCACTCACTCACTCACCCACTCACTCACTCACCCACTCACTCACTCACCCACCCACACACTCACTCACTCACCCACTCACTCACTCACCCACTCACCCACTCACTCACACACCCACTCACTCACTCACCCACTCACTCACTCACCCACCCACACACTCACTCACCCACTCACTCACTCACCCACTCACTCACTCACCCACTCACTCACTCACCCACTCACCCACCCACTCACTCACTCACCCACTCACCCACTCACTCACTCACCCACTCACCCACTCACTCACTCACCCACTCACTCACCCACCCACTCACCCACTCACTCACACACTCACTCACTCACCCACTCACTCACCCACTCATTTACTCACCAACCCACACACACACTCACCCACTCACTCACTCACCCACTCACTCACTCACCCACTCACTCACCCACCCACTCACCCACTCACTCACACACTCACTCACTCACCCACTCACTCACCCACTCATTTACTCACCCACCCACTCACCCACTCACTCACCCACTCACTCACCCACTCACTCACCCACTCACCCACTCACTCACTCACCCACTCACTCACCCACTCACTCACTCACCCACTCACTCACCCACTCACTCACCCACCCACTCAGTCACCCACTCACTCACTCACCCACTCACCCACTCACTCACTCACCCACTCACTCACTCAACCACTCACTCACTCACCCACTCACTCACCCACTCACCCACTCACTCACCCACTCACTCACCCACCCACCCACTCACCCACTCACCCACTCACTCACTCACTCACCCACTCACTCACTCACCCACCCACTCACCCACCCACCCACTCACCCACCCACTCACCCACCCACTCACCCACCCACCCACTCACCCACCCACTCACTCACCCACTCACTCACCCACTCACTCACTCACTCACCCACTCACTCACCCACTCACCCACCCACTCACCCACCCACTCACCCACTCACTCACTCACCCACTCACTCACCCACTCACCCACTCACTCACCCACCCACCCACCCACTCACCCACCCACTCACTCACCCACTCACTCACCCACTCACTCACCCACTCACTCACCCACTCACTCACCCACTCACACACCCACTCACTCACCCACTCACTCACTCACCCACTGACTCACCCACCCACCCACTCACTCACCCACTCTCCCACCCACCCACTCACCCACTCACTCACTCACCCACCCACTCACCCACCCACCCACTCACCCACCCACCCACCCACTCACCCACCCACCCACTCACTCACCCCCCCACCCCCCCACCCACCCACCCACTCACCCACCCACCCCCCCCACCCACCCACCCACCAGGTGCTATGGCAGCTGCCCCTACAGCTGCCCCTACAGCTGCCCCTGCAGCTGCCCCTGCCGCTGCTTCTTGGCCCTTGGACCCCTCCCGACCCCCCCTCATCGAGGGGTTCACCCCCAGTGGTGGAGATCTGCGCAGGACGGAGGGCTTTGGGGAGAAGCTCGCTCGGAAGACCAAAGAGAACCCCTTTGTGCCACTGGGTAAGGCGGGGAGTGGTGGTGCACCTAGCCTGGCACGGGGTTTGTGTGTGTGTGTGTCTGTGTGTGTGTCTGTGTGTGTGTGTCTCTGTATTTGTCCGGCAAAGCAACCCCCTACCTCCTCGCGGTGCCGGACGGGCAACTCTGTCGTGGACAGTGCTGTGGGGGGAGATCCAATTTTGATTGGCTCCTCCCCTCATGGCGTCTGTGACCACCACAGGGGCTAAACGGGGGCTCTGGACGGGTGCGAGGGGCTGGTAACCCCTCCACCTTCAATTAATTATCACGAAACCACGAGTTAAACTGAAATATGTAACTAATAAGCTTGTGCCGGAGGCCCCGGGGGGCCAGGCGTCTATGACGTCTCCTGACCAAACCCCAATTGGCGGAGCCAGGAGATTGAATCTCTACCCTCAGGGCTCCTCCAGAAACAACGAAAAGCCACTACGGGTGGCCACGTGGAATGTTCGAACGCTCACTGCAGAGGAGAGGCTGCCACTCCTCTGTCGGGAGCTGGACCGGTACCGCCTGGATCTCTGTGGCATTCAGGAGGTCCGGTGGACCGGCTCTGGCTCCTGCCACCATGAGGGGTGGACAGTCCTCTACTCGGGGCAGCAGACTGCCAAACAACAGGGTGTGGGTCTTCTTTTGAACAAAAGAATGAAGGGGGCGTGGGAGCGTGGCGGTGAGGTGTGGGAAGCTGTAAGCCCCAGGCTACTTTGGGCTCGCCTTCCCATCAACCGGAGGCGAGGAATGGTGGTCGTGGTTACTTATGCCCCCACCGAAGATGAACATCCGTGGAGGGATGCAGGCAAAGCCGATGAGTCAGATGCCTTCTATGACCTCTCCTGTCACAGGTGCTGGCTAAAGTGGCCCCTCGGGATAGAGTCATCATGTTGGGTGACTTCAATGCCCGAGTTGGTCATGATACTGGCACCTGGTCTGGAGTGATTAGAGAGCATGGGCCAGATCAGCTCAGTAACAACGGTAGCAGGCTGCTAGATTTTTGTGCAGCCCATGGGCTTGTAATTACCAATACGCTGTTCCGGCATCAGCGCATCCACACAAGATCATGGATGCATGTCGGGTCCAAGCAAGAACATCTGCTGGACTACATAGTGACGGACCAGCGGATGCGAGCCCATGTCCTTGACACCAGGACCTACCGTGGGGCTGATCTGCCCTTTGACCATCGACTAGTCATCTGTAAGATGCGCCTGCCATTCTTCCACTCCGGTGGTGGGTGTACACCCAGGACCCCATTCCAACCTAAAGTGGCCTGGCTCAGTTATCTGATGAAAGTTGCAAGCGAGAATTTCATCATCGCTTGTGGCTGGGATTGGCATCGTCCCCGACTCCTCCTGATGTCGAGGGTAAATGGGCGAGGTTTAGGACTGTGACTCATGCAGCTGCAATGGCTGCTTTGGGTACGCGGTCCAGACCTCCCCAGAGACCCTGGCTGACAGAGGAGGTGTTCAGGATGGTTGAGAAAAAGCGACAGGCCCACTGTCATCGGCTACAGAATCCCACGTCAGAGAATGAGGAGGCTTACCGCAGCCTTCGCTCGGAGGTTCGGAGAGCCGTGAGGCGCTGCAAGGATGGGTGGTGGTCGCGGGTTGCTGAGGAGATGGAGTCTGCCTCAGTGGCCCATGATCACAAATCTCTATTTAACTCCATCAAAAAAGTAACCTGCAGCGCCACACCTATTACCATCATTAGGGGAAAAAACGGTGATCCAATCTTCGCCCCCCAGGAACAGGTTTGCAGATTTGCTGAGCATTTCTGTGAGGTCCTGGGGGAGGGAAAATCCCTCAGCCAGGAAAACATCGTGGCACAAAGTGAGGATGACCCTGCTGAGGCTGCGGTGCCTCAAATATTGGAAGAAGTCACCCCCTGTGAGTGGCTGGCTGAGGTGCCATCTGTTGAGGAAGTACTGAAGGCGAGCCGGAGTCTGAGACCAGGAAAGGCAGCGGGCAGAGATGATCTCCCAAGCGAAATGCTGAGGGAGGGTGGCGTATGTGCACAGACTGCCCTACATGACATCATAACAATGGTCTGGACCACTGGACGGGTTCCGCAGGATTGGAAGGATGCCCTGGTGGTCCCCCTCTTTAAGAAGGGGGACCGCACAGACTGTAACAACTACAGGGGCATCTCACTCCTCAGTGTGCCGGGAAAGGTCCTGGCAAGGATTATTCAGCATCGCCTTGCCAGGCACGCTGAGGAGAGGCTTGCAGAGCCCCAATGCGGTTTCAGGAAAGGGCGGTCCTGCACAGGTGCCATATTTTCTGTCCGTCTGCTACAGCAGAGGTGTAGGGAATTCCAACAAGACCTACATCTCTGTTTTATTGACCTGGTCAAGGCCTATGATACCATCAGGAGGCCTGGGCTCTGGGTTGTTCTTCGTGCTTTTGGAGTACCTGACCCTCTGCTCACGATCATTAAGGACCTTCATGATGGTGAGCGGGCCCGGGTAAAACTACGTGGCCGGGAGTCGGAGCCATTCCCTGTACACCTTGGGATGCGACAGGGATGTCCTCTGGCTCCCACATTATTTAACATCTATTTTGACCACGTAGTTCGTGAAGCTTTCAATAGCTGTACCGGGAGAATCTCCATATGGTACAGATATAATGGGAGGCTGATCGATGCCCGGGTGCGGTCAAGGGATGGCTCCCTATTGCTCAACCACGTTATGTATGCTGATGATTTGGTAATAGCTGCTCATTCAGAGGAGGAGTTGGAGACGCTTCTGCTGAGACTGGAGCGTGCCACTAAGAGGTGGGGCCTTACCATCAGCCCCACCAAAACTAAGCACCTGCCTGGGTATTTTGTACCATCGGACACTCCACCCCCACAACTCCCAATCATTGATGGGGCAGTTGTGGAGAGAGTGGAGAGTTTCCCATACCTGGGCAGTGTGCTTATGACTGGCTCCAGTTTAACTGCAGAGGTCTCACTCCGAATCAGTTGAGCGGCAATATCTTTTCATCGGTTGCGTAACGCTGTGTGGAAGCTACCTGGTCTGTCGCTCCGCACTAAGCTTCAGGTCTTCTCGGCCACGGTCATTCCCTCCCTTTTCTACGCTTGCGAAACGTGGACCCCCCTAATGGAACATCTTCGCCGGTTAGAAACATTTAGGCTGGCCTGCCTACGATCCATCCTGGGTTTAACCAGACTGGATTGTGTGAGGAGCTCACAAATCCTTGAAATATCTGGGCAAGGCCCCATCGGTGAGCTCCTCCGGCGGGGAAGGCTACGATGGCTGGGTCATGTAGCCCGCATGCCCAGCCACCGCCTGCCGAAACAGCTTTTGTTCGGCCGGATTGAGGGGGCTAAGCGGGCGCGGCACGGGCTAGAGAAGAGATGGAGTGATGTGGTACAGGAGAACGTGGAGCTGAGTGGACTTGCCGATGACGGGTACCAGCGGTGTCAAGATCGGCCTCTGTGGAGGAGGCTCGTGAAGGACGCTATTGGGCAGTTGAAGGCAGTCGCCCTCCAACAACAACGGAGGGCGGCGGAGCGACGCTCACAACAACGAGCGGAGCGCCGGGTGGCTAAAGCACAGCAGGTTGGCACAGTAGGGGGCACAGGTGGTGCATCAGCCAGTCATCTCAGTCAGTCGACCCGTGGCACCTGCTGGGTCTGCCCCGTGACCTCCTGCCAAGCGGGCGTTCGACACTTCACGTGGCCTAAGGGTGCACATAGCCTGGCACAAGCGTCGTGGTGACGTCACCGCCACTTAGTGGCGAATGGCGGTTGTTGTTGTTGTTGTGTCTGTGTGTGTGTCTGTGTGTGTACACTGTGTGTGTGTGTCTGTCTGTGTGTGTCTGTGTGTGTGTCTGTCTGTGTGTGTCTGTGTGTCTGTGTGTAGCGGTTAGCGCTACGCTGCGCTATGAACCTGGCGACCCGGGTTCGATTCCCGCTCACGGCCAACACCAGTGACGATTATCTGAACAGGTCCCGGGCCTCCCCTAGGTCGACTCAGCCTCAAATGAGTACCTGGTGCGGTGTGTATACATCGCCACTAGGGAGACAAAGGCGGTCGGGCGTGGTGCTGGCCACCCACCCCCTCGTGTACCGTTCCGGCCTTCATAGGTGCTCGCTAACAGCACTTGCCCCTACAGTCTGTTAAGGCTATATGGGGAATCTTTGTGTCTGTGTCTGTGCGGTGGTGTGTTAGTAACCATCGCCACTGGGGAGACAAAGGCGGCCGTGTTGGCCACCCACCCCCTCGTGTGCCACAGTGCCGGTAGCCTTCATATAGCAGCACTTGCCCCTACAGTCTGAGTAGGCTACACGGGGGTCTTTGTCTTTGGTAGCCTTCGTAGACTCTGCTGCTGCTGCTGCTGCTACTCGCTCCTGACGCTGCACTTGCCCCTACAGCCCTGCTGGAGGCTACCTGGGGGAGCTTTGTCTGTGTCTCAGCACTTGCCCCTACGGCCCTACTAGAGGCTACCTGGGGGAGCTTTGTCTGTGTAACAGCACTTGCCCCTACAGCCCTACTAGAGGCTACCTGGGGGAGCTTTGTCTGTGTAACAGCACTTGTCCCTACAGCCCTGCTAGAGGCTACCTGGGGGAGCTTTGTCTGTGTCTCAGCCCTTGCCCCTACAGCCCTGCTGGAGGCTACCTGGGGGAGCTTTGTCTGTGTAACAGCACTTGCCCCTACAGCCCTGCTAGAGGCTACCTGGGGGAGCTTTGTCTGTGTAACAGCACTTGCCCCTACAGCCCTGCTAGAGGCTACCTGGGGGAGCTTTGTCTGTGTCTCAGCAGTTGCCCCTACAGCCCTGCTAGAGGCTACCTGGGGGAGCTTTGTCTGTGTCTCAGCACTTGCCCCTACAGCCCTGCTAGAGGCTACCTGGGGGAGCTTTGTCTGTGTCTCAGCACTTGCCCCTACAGCCCTGCTAGAGGCTACCTGGGGGAGCTTTGTCTGTGCGGGCGAGTCTGCCAGTCAGCGTGAGTGTGGAAAATTAACTCCCCTCTGGCCCCTCCCCTCTGGCCCCTCTCCCCTCCCCTCTGGCCCCTCCCCCTCCCCTCTGGCCCCTCCCCTCTGGCCCCTCCCTGGCCCCTCCCTCTCCCCCCCGGCCCCTCCCCCGGCCCTCTCCCCTGGCCCCTCCCTCCTCCCCTGGCCCCTCCCCCCCTGGCCCCTCCCCCCTGGCCCCTCCCCCTCCCCTCTCGCCTGGCCCCTCCCCCCCTGGCCCCTCTCCCCTGGCCCCTCCCTCCTCCCCCTGGCCCCTCCCCCTCTCCCCTGGCCCCTCCCCCTCCCGCCTGGCCCCTCCCCCTCTCCCCTGGCCCCTCCCCCCTCTCCCCTGGCCCCTCCCCCTCTCCCCTGGCCCCTCCCCCTCCCCGCCTGGCCCCTCCCCCCCAGGCGTGTTGACCACTGCCGTGGTGCTGTCTCTGGGCCTGGTGGCGTTCCGCCGCGGGGATTTTGTTCGCTCCCAGCGCCTCATGAGGGCCCGGGTCCTGGCCCAGGGATTCACCCTCGTGGCGCTCGTCGGCGGGGTCGTCTTGGGGGTAGGCAGGGGGTAGGTGGGGGGTAGGTGGGGGGTAGGTGGGGGGGTAGGTGGGGGGTAGGTGGGGGGTAGGCGGGGGGTAGGCAGGTAGAGAGGGGGTCCTCTTGGGGTAGGCAGGGGGTAGGTGGGGGGTAGGTGGGGGGTAGAGAGGGGGTAGGCGGGGGGTAGGTGGGGGGGTAGAGAGAGGGTAGGTGGGGGGTAGGTGGAGGGTCGTCTTGGGGGTAGGCAGGGGGTAGGTGGGGGGTAGGTGGGGGGTAGGTGGGGGGTAGAGAGGGGGTAGGTGGGGGGTAGGTGGGGGGTAGAGAGGGGGTAGGTGGGTGGGTAGGTGGGGGGTAGATAGGGGGTAGGCAGGGGGTAGGTGAGGGGTAGGTGGGGGGTAGAGAGAGGGTAGGTGGGGGGGTAGGTGGGGGGTAGAGAGGGGGTAGGCGGGGGGTAGGTGGGGGGTAGGTGGGGGTAGAGAGGGGGTAGGCGGGGGGTAGGTGGGGGGGTAGAGAGAGGGTAGGTGGGGGGTAGGTGGAGGGTCGTCTTGGGGGTAGGCAGGGGGTAGGTGGGGGGTAGGTGGGGGGTAGGTGGGGGGTAGAGAGGAGGTAGGTGGGGGGTAGGTGGGGGGTAGAGAGGGGGTAGGTGGGGGGGTAGGTGGGGGGTAGATAGGGGGTAGGCAGGGGGTAGGTGAGGGGTAGGTGGGGGGTAGAGAGAGGGTAGGTGGGGGGGTAGGTGGGGGGTAGAGAGGGGGTAGGCGGGGGGTAGGTGGGGGGTAGGTGGGGGGGTAGGTGGGGGGGTAGGTGGGGGGTAGGTGGGGGGGTAGGTGGGGGGTAGAGAGGGGGGTAGAGAGGGGGTAGAGAGGGTGGTAGAGATGGGGGTAGAGAGGGGGTAGGGAGGGGGTAGGGAGGGGGTATAGAGGGGGTAGAGAGGGGGTAGAGAGGGGGTAGGTGGGGGGTAGAGAGGGGGTAGAGAGGGGGGTAGAGAGGGGGTAGAGAGGGGGTAGGCGGGGGTAGAGAGGGGGTAGAGGGGGTAGTGAGGGGGTAGTGAGGGGGTAGGCGGGGGGTAGGCGGGGGGTAGGTGGGGGTAGGTGGGGGGTCCTCGGGGGTAGGCAGGGGGTAGGCGGGGGGTAGGCGGGGGGTAGGTGGGGGGTAGAGAGGGGGTAGAGAGGGGGGTAGAGAGGGGGTAGAGAGGGGTAGGGAGGGGGTAGAGAGAGGTTCGAGAGGGGGTAGAGAGGGGGTAGAGAGGGGGGTAGGGGGGGTAGAGAGGGGGTAGTCAGGCCAGGGGGTAGCCTGGATCCGTGATCCCCACCAAGTTATCCCCTGATCCCGCTACCCCGTGTTATATTTTATAGGGGTCTTGGTGTCCTACCAGGTATCCCCCTGATCCCACCAGGTATCCCCCTGATCCCACCAGGTACCCCCCTGATCCTAGTACATTTTAAAGGGATACCTGGGCACCATCCCCATATCCCCCGTTTGGTATCCCCCCTTGGCTTACTCAGGGATACACGCACCCCCCCTAACCCTCCCCCGGGTACCCCTAGGTACACCCTAGGTACCCCCTCTCTCATTTGCACGCTCACTCAGTCACTCACTCAGTCACTCACTCAGATATTCACTCAGACACTCACTCACTCAGTCACTCAGACACTCAGTCACTCACTCAGATATTCACTCAGACACTCACTCAGACACTAACTCAGTCACTCACTCAGTCACTCACTCAGACACTCACTCAGATATTCACTCAGACACTCACTCAGACACTAACTCAGACACTCACTCAGTCACTCACTCAGACACTCACTCACTCAGCTACCCACTCACTCACTCAGACACTCACTCAGTCACTCACTCAGACACTCACTCACTCAGACACTCACTCAGTCACTCACTCAGACACTCACTCAGACACTCATTCAGACACTCACTCAGACACTCACTCAGACACTCACTCACTCAGACACTCACTCAGACACTCATTCAGATAGTCATTCAGACACCCACTCAGACACTCACTCAGACACTCACTCAGACACTCACTCAGACACCCACTCAGACACTCAATCAGACACCCACTCAGTCACCCACTCAGACACTCAGTCACTCACTCACTCAAGACACTCACTCAGACACTCACTCACTCAGACACTCACTCAGACACTCACTCACTCAGTCACTCAGACACTCAGTCACTCACTCAGATATTCACTCAGACACTCACTCAGACACTAACTCAGTCACTCACTCAGTCACTCACTCAGACACTCACTCAGATATTCACTCAGACACTCACTCAGACACTAACTCAGACACTCACTCAGTCACTCACTCAGACACTCACTCACTCAGCTACCCACTCACTCACTCAGACACTCACTCAGTCACTCACTCAGACACTCACTTACTCAGACACTCACTCGCTCAGACACTCACTCAGACACTCATTCAGACATTCACTCAGACACTCACTCACTCAGACACTCACTCAGACACTCATTCAGACACTCACTCACTCAGGTAGTCACTCAGACACTCACTCAGACACTCACTCACTCAGACACTCAGTCAGACACTCACTCAGATAGTCATTCAGACACCCACTCAGACACTCACTCAGACACTCACTCAGACACCCACTCAGACACTCACTCAGACACCCACTCAGTCACCCACTCAGACACTCAGTCACTCACTCACTCAAGACACTCACTCAGACGCTCACTCACTCAGGTAGTCACTCAGACACTCACTCAGACACTCACTCACTCAGACACTCACTCAGACACCCACTCAGACACCCACTCAGACACCCACTCAGACACCCACTCAGACACCCACTCGCACACGAACACACTCAGACACTCACCCTCACTCACCCCCATGTCTCTGTACGGTTCTAATAAAATCGCTCAGTCCATCCGTGCTTTGATCTTGATTACTCCTGGAACCAACTCCACCCTCTCACTCCAATACCAACATAGCCGCTATGCGCAACTAAGTGGCGGTGACGTCACTACGGCGCATGTGCCAGGCTAAGTGCACTTTGAGGCTATCACGTGAAGTGTCGAACGCCCGCTGGCAGGAGGTCACGGGGCTGACCCAGCAGGTGCCACGGGTCGACTGACTGAGATGACTGGCTGATGCACCACCTGTGCCCCCTACTGTGCCAACCTGCTGTGCTTTAGCCACCTGGCGCTCCGCCCGTTGTTGTGAGTGTCGCTCCTCCGCCCTCCGTTGTTGTTGGAGGGCAACTACCTCCAACTGCCCAGTAGCGTCCTTCACGAGCCTCCTCCACAGAGGCCGATCTTGACACCGCCGGTACCGGTCATCGGCAAGTCCACTCAGCTCCACGTCCTCCTGTACCACGTCACTCCATCTCTTCTCTAGCCCGTGCCGCGCCCGTTTAGCCCCCTCAATCCGGCCGAACAAAAGCTGTTTCGGCATGCGGTGGCTGGGCATGCGGCTACATGACCCAGCCAACGCAGCCTTGCCTGCCGGAGGAGCTCACCGATGGGACCCTGCCCAGATTTTTCAAGGATTTGTGAGCTCACACAATCCAGCCTGGTTACACCCAGGATGGATCGTAGGCAGGCCAGCCTAAATGTTTCTAACTGGCGAAGATGTTCCATTAGGGGGGTCCACGTTTCGCAAGCGTAGAGAAGGGAGGGAATGACCGTGGCCGAGAAGACCTGAAGCTTAGTGCGGAGCGACAGACCAGGTAGCTTCCACACAGCGTTACGCAACCGATGAAAAGATATTGCCGCTCGACTGATTCGGAGTGAGACTTCTGCTGTCAAACCGGAGCCGGTCATAAGCACACTGCCCAGGTATGGGAAACTCTCCACTCGCTCCACAACTGCCCCATCACCGATTGGGACTTGTGGGGGTGGAGTGGCACGCTCCAGTCTCAGCAGCAGCGTCTCCAACTCCTCCTCTGAATGAGCAGCTATTACCAAATCATCGGCGTACATAACGTGGTTGAGCAATAAGGAGCCATCCCTTGACCGCACCCGGGCATCGATCAGCCTCCCATTATATCTGTACCATATGGAGATTCCCCCGGTACAGCTATTGAAGGCTTCACGAACTACGTGGTCAAAATAGATGTTAAATAATGTGGGAGCCAGAGGACATCCCTGTCGCACCCCAAGGTGTACAGGGAATGGCTCTGACACCCGGCCACGTAGTTTTACCCGGGCCCACTCACCATCATGAAGGTCCTTAATGATCGTGAGAAGAGGGTCAGGTACTCCAAAAGCACGAAGAACAACCCAGAGCCCAGGCCTCCTGATGGTATCATAGGCCTTGACCAGGTCAATAAAGCAGAGATGTAGGTCTTGTTGGAATTCCCTACACCTCTGCTGTAGCAGACGGACAGAAAATATGGCATCTGTGCAGGACCGCCCTTTCCTGGCAGGTGCTTAGTTTTGGTGGGGGCCGATGGTAAGGCCCCCCACCTCTTAGTGGCACGCTCCAGTCTCAGCAGCAGCATCAGCAAATCGCAAAGGTTGCGATTTCGTGAGATTTGAAAAGTCCCAATTGCTTTTTTTATTGGAATCGCTTCATTGTTGTTATTATTAATTAATCTATGTTTGATTGTTCTATTTCGTTTAAGACATTTTAATAAATACACGTTGGAAGCAATTGATATGTCATTGGATCTCCTTTGCCAGTAGCAAAATGTAATAGTAGGGAGTTTTCCCCTTTTTTCTCGCAGCAAAACTGAAAACCTGCATTAACCACAATACTTGCAGTCAAAATGCAAACAGAAAACACTTTGATTTAAAGCTTTCGTGACTGCAGGGATTAATATTCTTGGTTCTTTCGGTAAAGTCACCACCACGTAGATAGGGAAATAATAAAATAATAAAAATATAAAACAATAAAATTATTGTAAAACAATAAAAAATATTATTCTTGGTTCTTCCAGTAAAGTCACGATGATGCCTTGAATAAAGGTGTCAGTTTTTGTGCCAGTTAAAAGGGTAAAACCTATTCCTATATCTTGTTTCTGGCAAAGGAGGTCTCATAAAATAAAATTATTGTAAAGCAATAAAATTATTATTCTTGGTTCTTCCGGTAAAGTCACCACCACGTAGAAGGGAAACAATAAAATAATAAAAATATATAAAACAATAAAAATTATTGTAAAACAATAAAATTATTATTCTTGGTTCTTCCGGTAAAGACACCACCACGTAGATAGGGAAACAATAAAATAATAAAAATATAGAACAATAAAATTCTCACGACGTTTCGACTGCAACACATATCGAGAGATACATGGAGATACACAGAGATGCATAGACACATATAGAGAGATACATGGAGATAAACAGAGATACTTAGTCACATATAGAGAGATACATGGAGATACACAGAGATACATAGACACATACAGAGATACATGGAGATACACAGAGATACATAGACACATAGAGAGAGATACACAGAGATAAATAGACACATAGAGAGATACATGGAGATACACAGAGATACATAGACACATATAGAGAGATACATGGAGATGCACAGAGATACATAGACACATATATAGAGATGCATGGAGATACACAGAGATACATAGACACATATAGAGAGATACATGGAGATACACAGAGATACATAGACACATAGAGAGATACATGGAGATAGATACATAGAGATACATAGACACATATAGAGATACATGGAGATACACAGAGATACATAGACATATAGAGAGATACATGGAGATACATAGACACATATAGAGAGATACATGGCGATACACAGAGATACATAGACACATATAGAGAGATACATGGAGATACACAGAGATACATAGACACATATAGAGAGACACATGGAGATACACAGAGATACATAGACACATATAGAGAGATACATGGAGATACACAGAGATACATAGACACATATAGAGAGATACATGGAGATAGATACATAGAGATACATAGACACATATAGAGATACATGGAGATACACAGAGACATAGACACATACAGAGAGATACATGGAGATATATAGAGATACATAGACACATATAGAGAGATACATAGAGATACATGGATATACACAGACACATATCGAGAGATACATGGAGATACACAGAGATACATAGACACATACAGAGAGATACATGGAGATACACAGAGATACATAGACACATATAGAGAGATACATGGAGATACACAGAGATACAAAGACACATATAGAGAGATACACAGAGATACATAGACACATATAGAGAGATACATGGAGATACACAGAGATACATAGACACATATAGAGAGATACATGGAGATACACAGAGATACATAGACACATATAGAGAGATACATGGAGATACACAGAGATACATAGACACATATAGAGATAATAGAGAGACAGAGATACATAGACACATACAGAGAGATACATGGAGATACACAGAGATACATAGACACATATAGAGCGATACATGGAGATAGATACATAGAGATACATAGACACATATAGAGAGATACATGGAGATACACAGAGATACATAGACACATACAGAGAGATGCATGGAGATACATAGAGATACATAGACACATATAGAGAGATACATAGAGATACATGGATATACACAGACACATATAGAGAGATACATAGAGATACATGGATATGCACAGACACATATAGAGAGATACATGGAGATACACAGAGATACATAGACACATATAGAGATATACATGGAGATACACAGAGATACATAGACACATATAGAGAGATACATAGAGATACACAGAGATACATAGACACATATAGAGAGATACATGGAGATACACAGAGATACATAGAGAGATACATAGAGATACACAGAGATACATAGACACATATAGAGAGATACATGGAGATACACAGAGATACATAGACACATATAGAGATAATAGAGATACACAGAGATAAATAGACACATATAGAGAGATACATGGAGATACAGAGATACATAGACACATATAGAGATACATGGAGATACAGAGAGATACATAGACACATATAGAGAGATACATGGAGATACAGAGATACATAGACACATATAGAGAGATACATGGAGATACACAGAGATACATAGACACATATAGAGAGATACATGGAGATACACAGAGATACATAACACATATAGAGAGATACATGGAGATAGATGGAGAGATAGATACATAGAAATACATAGAGATAGATGGAGAGATATATAGATATACATAGAGATACAGAGATACATAGAGATAGATGGAGAGATACATAGAGATACATACAGAGAGATACATAGAGATAGATGGAGAGATACATAGAGATACATACAGAGAGATACATAGAGATAGATGGAGAGAGATACATAGAGATACATACAGAGAGATACATAGAGATAGATGGAGAGAGATAGATACATAGAGATACATACAGAAAGATACATAGAGATAGATGGAGAGATACATAGAGATAGATGAAGAGAGATAGATACATAGAGATACATACAGAGAGATACATAGAGATAGATGGAGAGAGATACATAGAGATACACACAGAGAGATACACAGAGATACATACAGAGAGATACATAGAGATACATACAAAGAGATACATAGAGATAGATGGAGAGAGATACATAGAGATAGATGGAGAGAGATACAGAGAGATAGATGAAGAGAGATAGATACATAGAGATACATACAGAGAGATACACAGAGATACATACAGAGAGATACATAGAGATAGATGGAGAGATACATAGAGATACATACAGAGAGATACATAGAGATAGATGGAGAGAGATAGATACATAGAGATACATACAGAAAGATACATAGAGATAGATGGAGAGAGATACATAGAGATAGATGAAGAGAGATAGATACATAGAGATACATACAGAGAGATACATAGAGATAGATGGAGAGAGATACATAGAGATACACACAGAGAGATACACAGAGATACATACAGAGAGATACATAGAGATACATACAAAGAGATACATAGAGATAGATGGAGAGAGATACATAGAGATAGATGGAGAGAGATACAGAGAGATAGATGAAGAGAGATAGATACATAGAGATACACACAGAGAGATACACAGAGATACATACAGAGAGATACATAGAGATACATACAAAGAGATACATAGAGATAGATGGAGAGAGATACATAGAGATAGATGGAGAGAGATACATAGAGATAGATGAAGAGAGATAGATACATAGAGATACATACAGAGAGATACATAGAGATAGATGGAGAGATACATAGAGATACATACAGAGAGATACATAGAGATACATACAGAGAGATACATAGAGATACATACAGAGAGATACATAGAGATAGATGGAGAGAGATACATAGAGATACATACAAAGAGATACATAGAGATAGACGGAGAGAGATAGATACATAGAGATACATACAGAAAGATACATAGAGATAGATGGAGAGAGATACATAGAGATAGATGAAGAGAGATAGATACATAGAGATACATACAGAGAGATACATAGAGATAGATGGAGAGAGATACATAGAGATACACACAGAGAGATACACAGAGATACATACAGAGAGATACATAGAGATACATACAAAGAGATACATAGAGATAGATGGAGAGAGATACATAGAGATAGATGGAGAGAGATACAGAGAGATAGATACATAGAGATACACACAGAGAGATACACAGAGATACATACAGAGAGATACATAGAGATACATACAAAGAGATACATAGAGATAGATGGAGAGAGATACATAGAGATAGATGGAGAGATACATAGAGATAGATGAAGAGAGATAGATACATAGAGATACATACAGAGAGATACATAGAGATAGATGGAGAGATACATAGAGATACACACAGAGAGATACATAGAGATACATACAGAGAGATACATAGAGATAGATGGAGAGATACAGAGAGATACATACAAAGAGATACATACAGAGAGATACATAGAGATACATACAGAGAGATGGAGAGAGATAGATACATAGAGATACATACCGAGAGATACATAGAGATAGATGGAGAGAGATAAATGGAGATAGATGCCACGACCACCCTAGAAACTTTCTAAAATGACGTCATGTGTTTGTTTAAAAATTTTCCCGCGCTTTTTTAATGAGTGGGACAACCCCCCTCACGCGTGACGTCACCGCATCTTCCCCCCCCACCTCAGGATGAAGTCACGTTTCTCCACCACCAGCACCCCCCCGAAACTCGAAAATGACGTCATTTCTTTAAACAAATTTCCCGCGCTTTTTTCATGCGTGAAACACCCTCACCCCTCTCGTGTCGCCGCTCCACTTCCTCCTCCTAGTGACGTCACTTCCGTCCCTCAAGGTGACGTCACTTTGACCCTCCACCCCCCAACTTTCTAAAACTATGTCATTTGTTTTAAATTATCTACAGCAACTTTTTAATGGGAGATCCTTGCCCCTCTCTTATCAACCGTGACGTCACTTATCCCTCCTCCCTTCAGGGTGACATCACGTCCACCCACGACAATGTCTAAGATGGCGGCATTTGTTTGTTATTATAATTTCTCAATGACGTAACCCCCTTCACCTTCCTCCCTCAACTCAAGGTGACGTCACGTCCACCCCACCACCCCTCCCCCGTGACGTCATCACCACCTCCCTTCCCCACCGTGACGTCACGAGCTCCCCCCCCTACCCCCCCGTAACGTCCACACCACCCCCCCTCCCCCGGGACGTCTCTCAACGCTCTCCCTCTTCCGTGACGTCACCCAAACCCCTCCCGACCGTGACGTCAGTAGCTCCCAACCCCCTTAAACGTCACCTCCCCCTCCTCCTGCGTGACGTCACCCACTTCACCTCTCAACCACATTGCGTCACCCCCTGCTTACCGTGACGTCTCCCCTCTAACCCCTCCCCCGCGACGTCACCCGCTCTACGCCCCTCCCACGGCTCACACACACAGACACACACACCCACGTGACGTCACATTTCCTCCGATGACGTCAGACACTTCGCCCCTCCCTCCGTGACGTCACCGCCACCACCCTCTCCTCTCCTCCATTTGAGTGAGCACTTAGGAGCAGCAACGACCATCACCACCACCAGCACCACCTCCATCATCGTCATCATGTCCAAGTACAACCGCCCCGCCAACTCCTCCGTCTACGTGAGGAACGTGGCCGACTCCACGCGGTGAGTGCGGCGGTAGCGGCTGAGAACGACCACGCTGAGTGGTGGGGGGTGGCGACGATGATGAGGGTAGGCCCGAAGCCTGCGGCCTAGTAGCGCAGGCTTTAGCTTCGCCCACCCCCCTCGATTCGCCTCACGAACTCGGCTCGCGATTTAAACTTAAATTAACCTGGTGTTAATTTGTAGCTATCGACTCGTTAACTCGTTAACCTTGTGTAAGGTTTATTTTGATTTCGGAGGCGAAAGCTTGGCCGGCTTGTCACGTGGAGATGTCCCATAGAGATACACAGATACACAGAGACCCATAGAGACCCACAGAGATCCATAGAGATACACAGAGACCCATAGAGATACACAGAGACCCATAGAGATACACAGAGACCCATAGAGATACACAGACCCATAGAGATACACAGAGACCCATAGAGATACACAGAGATACACAGAGACCCATAGAGATACACAGAGACCTATAGAGATACACAGACCCATAGAGATACACAGAGACCCATAGAGATACACAGAGACCCATAGAGATACACAGAGACCCATAGAGATACACAGAGACCCATAGAGATACATAGAAACCCATAGAGATACACAGAGACCCATAGAGATGGACAGAGACCCCGAGATACACAGAGACCCATAGAGATACATAGACCCATAGAGATGTACAGAGACCCATAGAGATGCACAGAGACCCCGAGAGATACACAGATACCCATAGAGATACACAGAGACCCATAGAGATACACAGAGACCCATAGAGATACACAGAGACCCATAGAGATACACAGAGACCCATAGAGATACACAGAGACCCATAGAGATACACAGAGACCCATAGAGATACACAGAGACCCATAGAGATACACAGAGACCCATAGAGATACATAGACCCATAGAGATACACAGAGACCCATAGAGATGCACAGAGACCCCGAGATACACAGAAACCCATAGAGATACACAGACCCATAGAGATACACAGAGACCCATAGAGATAGACAGAGACCCATAGAGATACACAGAGACCCATAGAGATACACAGACACCCATAGAGATACACAGAGACCCATAGAGATACACAGAGACTCATAGAGACACAGAGACCCATAGAGATACACAAAGACCCATAGAGATACACAGAGACCCATAGAGATACACAGAGACTCAGAGATACACAGAGACCCATAGAGATGAGTCTCTACAGAGACCCATAGAGATACACAGAGACCCATAGAGATACACAGACCCAGAGATACACAGAGACCCATAGAGATGCACAAAGACCCATAGAGATACACAGACCCATAGAGATACACAGACCCACAGAGATACACAGACCCACAGAGATAGACAGAGACCCACAGAGATACACAGAGACCCATAGAGATAAACAGACTCATAGAGACACACAGAGACCCATAGAGATACACAGAGACCCCTAGAGATACACAGAGACCCATAGAGATACACAGAGACCCATAGAGATACACAGAGACCCATAGAGATACACAGATACCCATAGAGATACACAGACCCATAGAGATACGCAGAGACCCATAGAGATACACAGACCCATAGAGATACACAGAGACCCATAGAGATACACAGACCCATAGAGATACACAGAGACCCATAGAGATACACAGAGACCCATAGAGATACACAGAGACCCATAGAGATATACAGAGACCAATAGAGATACACAGAGACCCATAGAGATACACAGAGACCCATAGAGATACACAGACCCATAGAGATACACAGACCCATAGAGATACACAGAGACCCGTGGAGATACACAGAGACCCATAGAGATACACAGAGACCCATAGAGATACACAAACCCATAGAGATACACAAACCCATAGAGATACACAGAGACCCATAGAGATACACAGAGACCCATAGAGACCGATAGAGATACACAGAAACCCATATAGATACACAGAGACCCATAGAGATACACAGACCCATAGAGATACACAGAGACCCATAGAGCCTCATAGAGACAGACCCATAGAGATACACAGAGACCCATAGAGATACACAGAGACCCATAGAGATACACAGAGACCCATGGAGATACACAGACCCACGGAGATACACAGAGACCCATAGAGATACACAGAGACCCATAGAGATACACAGAGACCCATAGAGATACACAGAGACCCATAGAGATACACAGAGACCCATAGAGATACACAGAGACCCATAGAGATACACAGAGACCCATAGAGATACACAGAGACCCATAGAGATACACAGAGACCCATAGAGATACACAGACACCCATAGAGATACACAGACACCCATAGAGATACACAGACACCCATAGAGATACACAGACACCCATAGAGATACACAGACACCCATAGAGATACACAGAGACCCATAGAGATACACAGAGACCCATAGAGATACACAGAGACCCATAGAGATACACAGAGACCCATAGAGATACACAGAGACCCATAGAGATACACAGAGACCCATAGAGATACACAGAGACCCATAGAGATACACAGAGACCCATAGAGATACACAGAGACCCATAGAGATACACAGAGACCCATAGAGATACACAGAGACCCATAGAGATACACAGAGACCCATAGAGATACACAGAGACCCATAGAGATACACAGAGACCCATAGAGATACACAGAGACCCATAGAGATACACAGAGACCCATAGAGATACACAGAGACCCATAGAGATTCACAGACCCATAGAGACCCATAGAGATACACAGACCCATAGAGATACACAGACCCATAGAGATACACAGACCCATAGAGATACACAGACCCATATAGATACACAGAGACCCATAGAGATACACAGAGACTCAGAGATACACAGAGACCCATAGAGATGAGTCTCTACAGAGACCCATAGAGATACACAGAGACCCATAGAGATACACAGAGACCCATAGAGATACACAGAGACCCATAGAGATACACAGAGACCCGTAGAGATACACAGGCCCATAGAGATGCACAGATAACCATAGAGATGCACAGATAACTATGGAGATGCACAGAGACCCATGGAGATGCACAGAGACACATAGAGATACACAGAGACCCATAGAGATACACAGAGACCCATAGAGATACACAGAGACCCATGGAGATACACAGACCCACGGAGATACACAGAGACCCATAGAGATACACAGACCCATAGAGATACACAGAGACCCATAGAGATACACAGAGACCCATAGAGATACACAGAGACCCATAGAGATACACAGAGACCCATAGAGATACACAGAGACCCATAGAGATACACAGAGATACACAGAGACCCATAGAGATACACAGAGACCTATAGAGATACACAGACCCATAGAGATACACAGAGACCCATAGAGATACACAGAGACCCATAGAGATACACAGAGACCCATAGAGATACACAGAGACCCATAGAGATACATAGAAACCCATAGAGATACACAGAGACCCATAGAGATGGACAGAGACCCCGAGATACACAGAGACCCATAGAGATACATAGACCCATAGAGATGTACAGAGACCCATAGAGATGCACAGAGACCCCGAGAGATACACAGAGACCCATAGAGATACACAGAGACCCATAGAGATACACAGAGACCCATAGAGATACACAGAGACCCATAGAGATACACAGAGACCCATAGAGATACACAGAGACCCATAGAGATACACAGAGACCCATAGAGATACACAGAGACCCGTAGAGATACACAGGCCCATAGAGATGCACAGATAACCATGGAGATGCACAGATAACCATGGAGATGCACAGAGACCCATGGAGATGCACAGAGACACATGGAGATGCACAGAGACCCATAGAGATACACAGATACCCATAGAGATACACAGAGATCCATAGAGATGCACAGAGACCCATAGAGACCCATAGAGACCCATAGAGACCCATAGAGACCCATAGAGACCCATAGAGACCCATAGAGACACATAGAGACCCATAGAGATACACAGAAACTCAGAGACACACAGAGACCCATAGAGATACACAGATACCCATAGAGATACACAGAGACCCATGGAGATACACAGAGACCCATAGAGATACACACACCCATAGAGATACACAGAGACCCATAGAGATACACAGAGACCCACAGAGACCCATAGAGATACACAGACCCATAGAGATACACAGAGACCCATAGAGATACACAGAGACCCATAGAGATACACAGAGACCCATAGAGATACACAGAGACCCATAGAGATGCACAGAGACCCATAGAGATGCACAGAGACCCATAGAGATGCACAGAGACCCATAGAGATGCACAGAGACCCATAGAGATACACAGAGACCCATAGAGATACACAGAGACCCATAGAGACCCATAGAGATACACAGAGACCCATAGAGATACACAGAGACCCATAGAGATACACAGAGACCCATAGAGATACACAGAGACCCATAGAGATACACAGAGACCCATAGAGATACACAGAGACCCATAGAGATGCACAGAGACCCATAGAGATGCACAGAGACCCATAGAGATGCACAGAGACCCATAGAGACCCATAGAGATGCACAGAGACCCATAGAGATGCACAGAGACCCATAGAGATACACAGAGACCCATAGAGATACACAGAGACCCATAGAGACCCATAGAGATACACAGAGACCCATAGAGATACACAGAGACCCATAGAGATACACAGAGACCCATAGAGATACACAGAGACCCATAGAGATACACAGAGACCCATAGAGATACACAGAGACCCACGGAGATACACAGAGACCCACGGAGATACACAGAGACCCATTGAGATACACAGAGACACATAGAGATACACAGAGACACATAGAGATACACAGACACACAGAGACACACAGAGACACACAGAGACACACAGAGACACACAGAGACACACAGAGACCCAGAGATATACATAGAGACACATAGAGACACACAGAGACCCACAGATATACACAGAGACTCACAGAGATACACAGAGACCCATAGAGACCCACAGAGATACACAGAGACCCATAGAGATACATAGAGACCCACAGAGACACACAGAGACCCACAGAGTCACACAGAGACCCATAGAGATACATAGAGACACACAGAGACACACAGAGACCCACAGAGTCACACAGAGACCCATAGAGATACACAGAGACACACAGAGACCCATAGAGATACAGAGACCCATAGAGATACAGAGACCCATAGAGATACACAGAGACCCATAGAGATACACAGAGACCTACAGAGACACACAGAGACACACAGAGACCCATAGAGATACACAGAGACCCATAGAGATGCACAGAGACCCATAGAGATGCACAGAGACCCATAGAGATGCACAGAGACCCATAGAGACGCACAGAGACCCATAGAGATATACAGAGACCCATAGAGATACACAGAGACCCATAGAGATACACAGATACCCATAGAGATACACAGATACCCATAGAGATGCACAGAGATCCATAGAGATGCACAGAGACCCATAGAGACCCATAGAGACCCATAGAGACCCATAGAGACCCATAGAGACACATAGAGACACATAGAGACCCATAGAGATACACAGAGACCCACAGAGATACACACCCACAGAGACCCACAGAGACCCACAGAGACCCACAGAGACCCACACAGAGACCCACAGAGACCCACAGAGACCCACAGAGACCCACAGCGACCCACAGCGACACACAGAGACACACAGAGACACACAGAGACACACAGAGACCCACAGAGACCCACAGAGACACATAGAGATACACAGAGACACACAGAGACACACAGAGACCCATAGAGATACACACCCACAGAGACCCACAGAGACACACAGAGACACACAGAGACACACAGAGACACACAGAGACCCACAGAGACCCACAGAGACCCACAGAGACACACAGAGACACACAGAGACCCATAGAGATACACACCCACAGAGACCCACAGAGACCCACAGAGACCCACAGAGACACACAGAGACACACAGAGACCCACAGAGACACACAGAGACCCACAGAGACCCACAGAGACACACAGAGACCCACAGAGACCCACAGAGACCCACAGAGACACACAGAGACCCACAGAGACCCACAGAGACACATAGAGACCCACAGAGACCCACAGAGACACACAGAGACACACAGAGACCCACAGAGATACACAGAGACCCATAGAGATACACAGAAACCCACAGAGATACACAGAGACCCATAGAGATACACAGAGACCCATAGAGATACACAGAAACCCACAGAGATACACAGAGACCCATAGAGATACACAGAGACCCACAGAGACCCACAGAGACCCACAGAGACCCACAGAGACCCACACCGACCCACACCGACCCACAGAGACCCACAGAGACCCACAGAGACCCACAGAGACACACAGAGACACACAGAGACACACAGAGATACACAGAGATACACACAGAGACACACAGAGACACACAGAGATACACACAGAGATACACACAGAGATACACACAGAGATACACACAGAGATACACACAGAGATACACACAGAGATACACACAGAGATACACACAGAGACCCACACAGAGACCCACAGAGATACACAGAGACCCAAACTAAACTATGTTGATGTTTACCAGGTATGACCCCACTGAACGGCTGTGTGGATCTTTGTTCAGACACGCCACCTGCCCATCGCACAGAGATAGCGCCTCAATCAAGTGGCTCATGTCACCATCACCGTGTGGGTATTTACAGCAGCACCCAGATGCCCTACACGCGTAGAGACGTTGATTCAAAATGTGGAGGGGGAGGTAGCTAACGCCTCTTCACAGAGAGAGTGACGCAGACTCTAAATACACAGCAGCAGCAGCGAGGCATCGTCAAGGTCTGGGATCGAACCCACAAACTCCTGCATACCAGGCGAGGTTGCTAACACCTCCCTATCCACCGCGGCTAGGGAATGCCCTGTGCCGAGTTGTGAGTGGGGTGAGCGTGCGAGTGGGGTGGTGAGCGTGCTAGTGGGTGGTGAGCGTACGAGTGGGTGGTGAGCGTACGAGTGGGTGGTGAGCGTACGAGTGGGTGGTGAGCGTACGAGTGGGTGGTGAGCGTACGAGTGGGTGGTGAGCGTATTAGTAAGCGAGTGGTGAGTGGTGGAGTGAGTGTATTAGTGAGTGAGTGTATGAAAGAGTGAGTGTATGAGTGAGTGAGTGTATTAGTGAGTGAGTGAGCGAGTGGTGTATGAGTGGTGTAAGAGTGAGTGTGTGAGTAAGTGAGTGTGTGAGTAAGTGAGTGTGAGTGTGTGAGTGAGTGAGCGAGTGTGTGAGTGAGTGAGTGTGTGAGTGAGTGTGTGCGTGAGTGTGTGCGTGAGTGAGTGCGTGTGTGAGTGAGTGCGTGTATTAGTGAGTGGTGAGTGAGTGTATTAGTGAGTGAGTGTATTAGTGAGTGTGTGAGTGTATTAGTGATTGAGTGAGTGAGTGTATTAGTGATTGAGTGGTGAGTGTATTAGTGATTGAGTGGTGAGTGTATTAGTGAGTGTATGAGTGAGTGTATGAGTGAGTGTGTGTGAGTGTATGAGTGAGTGTATGAGTGAATAAGTGTATGAGTGAGTGAATGAGTGTATGACTGAGTGAGTGTATGAGTGAGTGTGTTAGTAAGTGAATTGTGTAAGTGAGTGAGTGTATTAGTGAGTGTATTAGTGATTGAGTGTATGAGTGAGTGTATGAGTGAATGAGTGTATGAGTGAATGAGTGTATGAGTGAATGAGTGTATGACTGAGTGAGTGTATGAGTGAGTGTGTTAGTAAGTGAATTGTGTAAGTGAGTGAGTGTATTAGTGAGTGCGTGTATTAGTGCGTGTATTAGTGAGTGTATGAGTGAGTGTATTAGTGAGTGAATGTATGAGTGAGTGTATTAGTGATTGAGTGAGTGTATTAGTGATTGAGTGAGTGTATTAGTGAGTGTATTAGTGATTGAGTGGTGAGTGAGTGTATTAGTGAGTGTATGAGTTAGTGTATTAGTGTATGAGTAAGTGAGTGTGTTAGTGAGTGTTAGTGAGTGTGTGTTAGTGAGTGTATTAGTATATGAGTGAGTGAGTGTGTTAGTGAGTGAGTGTTAGTGAGTGTGTGTTAGTGAGTGTATTAGTATATGAGTGAGTGAGTGTGTTAGTGAGTGAGTGTGAGTGAGTGTGAGTGAGTGTGTATTAGTGAGTGTATTAGTGAGTGAGTGTAAGTGAGTATTAGTGAGTGTGTAAGTGTGAGTGAGTGTGTGTGAGTGTATTAGTGTGTATTAGTGAGTGTGTAAGTGAGTATTAGTGAGTATTAGTGAGTGTGTAAGTGTGTGAGTGAGTGAGTGTGAGAGTGTGTAAGTGTGAGTGAGTGTGTGTGAGTGAGTGTATTAGTGAGTATTAGTGAGTGTGTAAGTGAGTGAGTGAGAGTGAGTGAGTGTATTAGTGAGTATCAGTGAGTGTGTAAGTGAGTGAGTGAGAGTGAGTGAGTGTATTAGTGAGTATTAGTGAGTGTGTGAGTGAGCGTGAGTGAGTGTATTAGTGAGTATTAGTGAGTGTGTATTAGTGAGTATTAGTGAGTGTATTAGTGAGTGAGTGTAAGTGAGTATTAGTGAGTGTGTAAGTGTGAGTGAGTGTGTGTGAGTGTATTAGTGTGTATTAGTGAGTGTGTAAGTGAGTATTAGTGAGTGTGTAAGTGAGTATTAGTGAGTATTAGTGAGTGTGTAAGTGTGTGAGTGAGTGAGTGTGATGTTGACCCCGGCCCTGTGTTGCCCCCCTCTTTTCTTTTTTTTGCCGCTATCGTCGTTGTTGAAGGCCCGAGGACTTGCGGCGGGAGTTTGGTCGCTATGGCCCCATCGTAGATGTGTACATTCCACTTGACTACTACACGCGGCGACCTCGCGGATTTGCTTACGTGCAATATCCTTTACCAGCAAGGCTTGCAATCACCGCCATCGCAGACCGGCAGCGCCAATCACCGCCATCATCATCATCATCATCGTAATCGTCATCATCATCATCATCATCGTAATCGTCATCGTCATCATCATCAGCCGCCGCCATTATCAACGCCAGCCGGCCACAGCCACCGCTGTCGGCACCGGCACCGCCGTAGGTCACAGCCACCGGCAATCGCGGTCACAGCCACCGGCAATCACGGTCACAGCCACCGGCAATCGCGGTCACAGCCACCGGCAATCGCGGTCACAGCCACCGGCAATCGCGGTCACAGCCACCGGCAATCGCGGTCACAGCCACCGGCAATCGCGGTCACAGCCACCGGCAATCGCGGTCACAGCCACCGGCAATCACGGTCACAGCCACCGGCAATCACGGTCACAGCCACCGGCAATCGCGGTCACAGCCACCGGCAATCGCGGTCACAGCCACCGGCAATCACGGTCACAGCCACCGGCAATCGCGGTCACAGCCACCGGCAATCGCGGTCACAGCCACCGGCAATCGCGGTCACAGCCACCGGCAATCGCGGTCACAGCCACCGGCAATCACGGTCACAGCCACCGGCAATCACGGTCACAGCCACCGGCAATCGCGGTCACAGCCACCGGCAATCGCGGTCACAGCCACCGGCAATCACGGTCACAGCCACCGGCATCGCCACGACTTATTATCGCTACACCACCGCAATCATCACCATCATCATCACCACCACCATCATCATCACCATCATCATCACCACCATCATCACCATCATCATCACCACCATCATCACCACCATCACCATCTCCACCACCATCATCACCACCATCACCATCATCATCACCATCATCACCACCACCACCATCATCATCATCACCATCATCACCACCACCACCATCATCATCACCACCATCATCACCGCAGCAGCAGCAGCAACCGGCAGCCACATCCACCACTGCCGTCATCGCAGTTTTGCCGGAATCACCGCAACCATCGCCAACGCTGCCATCACCGCCGCGGTCACCATCATCACCGCCCCCACCATAATCATCACCAGAATCATCGCCACCACCACCAACGTCACCACCACCCTCACCACCACCACCGTCACCACCACCCTCACCACCACCACCGTCACCACCACCACCACCGCACCACCACCGTCACCACCACCCTCACCACCACCGTTACCACCACCACCTTCTCCACCACCGTCACCACCACCACCGTCACCACCACCGTCACCACCATCGCCACCACCGTCACCACCACCACCGTTACCACCACCATCACCACCACCATCACCACCACCAACGTAACCACCGTGGGCAAGGGTTTGAGGTGGGGGTGGACTGGCAGCCTCGCGAGTTTGCCCATAACCACACACGCACGTACACACACGCACATACACACACACGCACGTACACGCACGTACACACACGCACGTACACACACGTGCGCACGTACACACACACGTACACACACACGTGCACACGTACACACACACACGCACACGCACACACGCACGTACACACACGCACGTACACACACACGCACGTACACACACGCGCACGTACACACACACGCACGTACACACACACGCACGTACACACACACACACACGTGCACACGTACACACACACACACACGTACACACACACACGTACACACACGCACGTACACACACACACGTACACACACACACACGTGCACACGTACACACACGTGCACACGTACACACACGTGCACACGTACACATACACGCACGTACACACACACACGTACACACACACACACGTACACACACACACGTACACACACACACACGTACACACACGTGCGTGTGTGTGCACGTGCACACGGGGCTGGGGGATGAGGGGAGACGTTCCCCCGTTACCCCAGCAGGTGAGTGGGGGGAGGGTGTTGTGGAGCCGGTGTGTGTGTGTCTGTGTGTGTGTCTGTCTGTGTCTGTGTGTCTGTGTGTGTTTGTCTGTGTGTGTGTCTGTGTGTGTGTCTGTCTGTGTCTGTGTGTCTGTGTGTGTTTGTCTGTGTGTGTGTCTGTGTGTGTGTCTGTGTGTGTGTCTGTGTGTGTGTCTGTGTGTGTGTCTGTGTGTGTGTCTGTGTGTGTGTCTGTGTGTGTGTCTGTGTGTGTCTGTGTGTGTCTGTGTGTGTGTGTGTGTCTGTGTGTGTGTGTGTGTCTGTCTGTGTGTGTGTGTGTGTCTGTGTGTGTGTGTGTGTCTGTGTGTGTGTGTGTCTGTGTGTGTGTGTGTGTCTGTGTGTGTCTGTGTGTGTGTGTGTGTGTCTGTGTGTGTCTGTGTGTGTGTGTGTGTGTCTGTGTGTGTCTGTGTGTGTCTGTATGTGTGTCTGTGTGTCTGTCTGTGTGTCTGTATGTGTGTCTGTGTGTCTGTCTGTGTGTCTGTGTGTCTGTCTGTGTGTCTGTGTGTCTGTCTGTGTGTCTGTGTGTGTGTCTGTCTGTCTGTGTGTCTGTCTGTGTGTCTGTGTGTGTGTCTGTCTGTCTGTGTGTGTCTGTCTGCGTGTCTCACCGCGTGGCGAGGGGATGCTTGGTGGAGAGCCCGAGGGGGGTGGGGGTTGGTGGGGGGCCCGAGGGGGTTGGTGGGGGGCCCGAGGGGGTTGGTGGGGGGCCCGAGGGGGTGGGGGTTTATTTTTGGGGGGGGGGTAAACCCCCTTTGACTGCCGTTTGTGTCTCTGTTGTCCCAGATGGCTCCTCTGCGTAGCCCCCACCGAGTTTGTTGCAAACCAGGGGGGAGGGGCATGGAGCCCACGGGCCACTCGGCAGGGTTAGAGGGACGCTAACGCGGCAAGGTCAAAGGCCAAGGTGCCCCAAGCAAGGTCAAAGGTCAAAGTGCCCAAGCAAGGTCAAAGGCCAAGGTGCCAAGCGAGGCCAAGGTGCCCCAAGCGAGGCCAAGGTGCCCCAAGCAAGGTGAAAGGTCAAAGTGCCCAAGCAAGGTCAAAGGCCAAGGTGCCAAGCGAGGCCAAGGTGCCCCAAGCAAGGTCAAAGGTCAAAGTGCCCCAAGCAAGGTCAAAGGCCAAGGTGCCAAGCGAGGCCAAGGTGCCCCAAGCAAGGTCAAAGGCAAAGAGCCCCAAGCAAGGTCAAAGGCCAAGGTGCCCCAAGCAAGGTCAAAGGCCAAGGTGCCCCAAGCAAGGTCAAAGTGCCAAGCAAGGTCAAAGTAAAGTCCCCCAAGCAAGGTCACAGCAAAGTCCCCCAAGCAAGGTCAAGGCAGAGGCCCCAAGCAAGGTCAAAGCAAGGTCAAAGCAAGGTCAAAGCAAGGTCAAAGCAAGGTCAAAGCAAGGTCAAAGCAAGGTCCCCCGCCTCCCCCGGCGTGTCTCAAGCAACGAGCAAAGCGCCAGGCAAGCGTCTTACATTGGTTTAGTTGCCACAGCCACAGCCACAGCTGCTGCTACCGGTGGTGGTGGTGGTGATGGTGGTGGTGGTGGTGATGGTGGTGGTGGTGGTGATGGTGGTGGTGATGGTGGTGATGGTGGTGATGGTGGTGGTGGTGGTGATGGTGGTGGTGGTGGTGGTGGTGAGGGTGGTGGTGGTGATGGTGATGGTGGTGGTGGTGGTGGTGGTGGTGATGGTGGTGGTGGTGATGGTGGTGGTGATGTCCCTGCCGATTGGCAAGGCTGTTGCCCTATCCACCCACGTGTCCACTCATACCCCACCCACACCCCACCCACACCCCCTCCCACCCACGCCCCACCCACGCCCCCACCCACGCCCCACCCACGCCCCCACCCCACCCCACGCCCCCACCCCACTCACGCCCCCACCCCACCCACGCCCCCTCCCACCCACGCCCAACCCCACCCACGCCCCCCACCCCACCCAGGCCCAACCCCACCCACGCCCCACCCCACGCCCCCACCCACACCCCACCCACGCCCCTCCCCACCCACGCCCCACCCCTCCCCACCCACGCCCCTCCCCACCCACGCCCCTCCCCACCCACGCCCCTCCCCACCCACGCCCCTCCCCACCCACGCCCCACCCCACACCCACCCCACGCCCAACCCCACCCACGCCCCCTCCCATGAAGCCCAAAGAGCGAGGGGGGCGGTGGCTGTTGAGCGGAGTAGGAGGAGGAGGAGGAGGAGCAGGAGCAGGAGGCGTGTGGGTGTGGGTGTGGGTGTGGACCCCCCGTGGCTCCCCGTGGCTCCCCTAGCGAGGTGGAGGAGGTTTGGGGGCGTGGGGAGAGGCGCCGAGTATCCTGCGGGGAATGAGCGGCACGGCCAACGCACCTGGGTAGAGGAGGAGGAGGAGGAGGGCGTTGGCGTGGTGAGCGATGAGTGGTGTGGATGCGGGGCGATGGGTGGCGGGTGTGGATTGGGGGGGGTGACGCTGGCGAATGATGTGGTGACACTTAGAGGTGGGAGTGTTTGGGGGGGGGGCGACGTGTGGCGAAGCTGCAAGTGCCCCCCCCCCGTCAACCAGGGGTGAGGGAGTGGTGGTGGTGGTTGTTCATGCCCACACCGAAGATGCACGTCGGTGGAGGGATGCGGGCAAGGCCGGTGAGTCCGGATGCCTTCTATGGCTCCGTCGGGAGCTGGACCGGTACCGCCTGGATCTCTCTGTGGCGTTCAGGAGGTCCGGTGGACCGGCTCTGGCTCCTGCCACCATGAGGGGTGGACAGTCCCTCTACTCGGGGCAGCAGACTGCCAAACAACAGGGTGTGTGGCTCTTCTTTTGAACAAAAGAATGAAGGGGGCGTGGGAGCGTTGGCGGTGAGGTGTGGGAAGCTGTGAGCCCCGGGCTACTTTGGGGCTCGCCTTCCCATCAACCGGAGGCGAGGAATGGTGGTCGTGGTTACTTATGCCCCCCACCGAAGACGAACATCCGTGGAGGGATGCAGGCAAGGCCGATGAGTCAGATGCCTTCTATGACCTCTCCTGTCACAGGTGCTGGCTAAAGTGGCCCCTTTGGGATAGAGTCATCTTGTTGGGTGACTTCAATGCCCGAGTTGGTCATGACGCTGGCACCTGGCCTGGAGTGATTGGAAGGCAATGGGCCAGATCAGCTCAATAACAACGGCAGGAGGCTGCTAGATTTTTTGTGTGCGGCCAACACGCTGTTCCGGCATCGGCGCATCCACACAACATCGTGGATGCATGCCGGGTCCAAGCGAGAACATCTGCTGGACTACGTGTATGTATAAAATGTATGGTGGACTTAGTCTTGGTTCTTCCAGTAAAGTTACGTAGGAGGGGGAAATAATAAAATAATGAAAAATAAACCGATGAAATCGTCCCGACCTTTCGATTGCAACACACGCAGTCATCGGCGGGTGTGAGAAGCCACGGCGAGAGCGAGGATTTTGTTTTGGCTTTATTATTTCATTGACTCCCTTCCGCGCGGTGGTGACTTTACCGAAAGAACCAAGAATATGAATCCCTGCAGCCGCGAAAGATTTGAATCGAACTGTGGTGAACTTATTCTTAGTTCTTTCGGTAAAGTCACCACGTTGAAGGGAAACAGCAAAATAATAAAATATATATAAAACAATAAAAATTCTCACGACCGTTTGTGTTATGGTCGAAACGTCGTGATAATTTTTATTGTTTTATATATATTTTATTATTTTGTTGTTTCCCTTCAACGTGACTTTACCGAAAGAACTAAGAATATGCTGCTATTATACTTCTGTAATGCTCAGAACTAAGAATATGAATTACTGCAGTCACAAAAGCTTTAAATCAAAATTTATGGTGAACTTCTTAGGCAACATACGTAGTCAACCGTGGTAATCGGAGGTGCCGGGGGACTGACAGCTAAACGCACCAAGCAACGGATCGGCGGATGATGCTGGCCCCATGTACTTGACACCAGGACCTACCGTGGGAGCTGATCTGCCCACTGACCATCGGCTAGTCATCCGTAAGATGCGCCTGCCATTCTTCCGCTCCGGTGGTGGGTGTGCACCCAGGACCCCATTCCGACCTAAAGTGGGCCTGCTCTCAGTTATCTGATGAAAGTTGCAAGCGAGAATTTCATCATCGCTTGCGGCTGGGATTGGCATCGTCCCCGACGACTCCTGATGTCGATGGTAAATGGGCGAGGTTTAGAACTGTGATTCATGCAGCTGCAATGGCTGCTTTGAGTACGTGGTCCAGACCTCCCCAGAGACCCTGGCTGACAGAGGAGGTGTTCAGGATGGTTGAGAAAAAGCGACAGGCCCACTGTCATCGGCTACAGTGTCCCACGTCAGAGAATGAGGAGGCTTACCGCAGCCTTCGCTCGGAGGTTCGGAGAGCCGTGAGGCGCTGCAAGGATGGGTGGTGGTCGCGGGTTGCTGAGGAGATGGAGTCTGCCTCAGTGGCCCGTGATCACAAATCTCTATTTAACTCCATCAAAAAAGTTACCTGCAGCGCCACACCTATCACACCGTCGTTGGGGGAAAGAACGGTGATCTGATCTCTGACTTTTAGGAACAGGCCTGCACATTTGCTGAGCATTTCTCCTTGAGATCTTGGGGGAGGGGAAACCCCTCAGCTCAGAAAACATCATGGGCCAAATTGGGGATGACCCTGCTGGGGCTGCCTTGTCTCAATTATTGGAAGAAGTCACCCCCTGTGAGTGGCTGGCTGAGGTGCCATCTGTTGAGGAAGTACTGAAGGCGATCCGGAGACTTGAGACCAGGAAAGGCAGCGGGCAGAGATGATCTCCCAAGCGAAATGCTGAGGGAGGGTGGCGTTTGTGCACAGACTGCCCTATATGACATCATAACAACAGTCTGGACCACTGGAAGGATGCCCTGGTGGTCCCCCTCTTTAAGAAGGGCGACCGGGCAGACTGTAACAACCACAGGGGCATCTCACGCCACAGTGTGTCCTGGGAAAAAGGTCTTATGATGAAGGTGGACATTGTAGTGCTGGGTGATGGAAGTGATGATCTGATGGTGGTGGTGGTAGTGATGGTGATGTGGTAGTTGTTGGCGTGGTGGTTGTTGCTATTGTTGCAGTGGTTGTGTGGGATGTGACCACCTCGGCATGCACTCCCTACCTCTTACCACCACCACCACAGCTGCTGCTGCTGCTACTCCTGCTGCTAACCATTGCTGCTTCCGCTGCCACCACTCCCGGTTCTCCACAATCGAGGTGTTTGGGGTTAGATGGCGGCGTCAAATCTCCCGCCGGCACTCGACAAGGCCAATCGCTAATGGGCTTGTCGCGTGAACAAAACGCGTAGCCAATTTGTGACTCGTTACAGCACCAACCGGTTGTGTGTTAGGGAGTAAGCCCACTACGACATTGACAATTATAGTGCAGTGTGTATATAGTGTAGTGTATAGTGTAGTGTGTGTATACAGTAGTATACTAGTACAGAACCAACCTTTTGTGTTGGAGAGTAAGCCCACTACGACATTGACAA